ATACAAAATAAGATGTTATATGTACCTTGACGATCGATATCGTAAAGTAGGGGTACAGGCAAATTGGAGGTTAACAAACCACAGTGAAGGAGATGCTGTCATTTCAACCAGAACAAATTATTGAGTAGTAGTTCAGGTTGACTGACATGTTGACTTTGTTGCTCGCTAAAGAACTAACTGAGACACAAACGTCGCGAAACGCTTCTCAGTCAACCACTTCGTTACAGGTGATATGAAGGCTAACAGAAAGTGGTCTAAACGTATATAGCCATATCGGCTACAGCCAAAAATATTAAGTGGATGTTAAAATTTGCTTCGCAATGGACGAATTGCATTATTAAAACTTCCTGCATAAACATCTGGATTTCCTGGGTAATAATAGTTACCAATTAATTTCTCCCCGTTTGCTAATGACTTTTTCCTTAATTCTAAACTGTTTTTCTTTTGTGCATATATTTTTTACTTTCATTATTAGCATAATAGGAAATGTTGTATTGGGGTCCTGTGACAACTGCAGTAAAAAATCTCATTCGTTGTCGCATAAAAGAGCTGTTCGATATAAAACGGCTCATTATATCAGTGTTCAACGGTACAATAAGAGTCCACCGAGAACTGAATAGACTCTCAAGGTGGCTCGACAGAGTTTTCAGGGCAATTTCCGATGCACTTCAGAAAAGCGTCTACCTACATGTGTATCATTTACCTATAAAATCTAAAACAGCAATAAACCAAAAAAGGGCGGAATACTAAGGCTATATACACGCTATAGTGGATTGTTTTTCGTGTTATCTGGTATAGTATCAACACCTGTACTGCGGATATGTAACTCTCCACTGTAAGTAAAAACGTAACATCCGGTGGTTTGTTTTACTCGCCAGGGCTTCACTTTTGTCGGTAACAACTAATTTAAGATAGACTGTGCACCTATCACTAAGCGGTATCTTCCACTATTTACCCCTCGGGGGTGGGAGGGGGGATACTCAGTACAATGGCCTATACGGGAAGGCTCCGCCTGAAAGGGGAACCTTTTTCAGGCTTCAGGTATATCAAAGGGAAGGGGTTTACTGGTTGAATATATGGAAGTGTAGGGTAATCGGTCATTTCGGTACGTAAAAAGGCCTAAAAGGGCTAACAGATTTATTCTAAAGCTGTGAAAAAGTCGAGAAAATGTTCTGCTTTTGTGATTTATTCGTATTTCAAATGCAGTGCCTTTACACTGGTTAAAAGGGTGCAAAATTCTAAATTAGTTATAAGAAAGGGGTATCGTATCATTTGTCAAAAGAAGGCATAGGAAAGGGGTACCTTTTCTCTCAAAATGGTATGTAAAAGAATAAGGGGTTGGACGGACCTCCGGGCGGAGTCTCCCCGCATAATTACCGCAGCAGGAGTAGCTCAGGCGGCACAGCGATTGTCTGCAGAGCGGATGGTCGCGGGGGGGATCTCTGGGGCCGCACCACTATTCAGGGTCTTAGGATAATTGAGAAATGATGGTATACTGAGTTTGCTCTGCAAACAAGCCAGACCTTTGCTTGGAGTAGGAGACGTAAAAAGAGACGTCTTCAATTAGCAGTTTCTTGCTAAATACACTGACAATTTAGAAATAAAATGCGTTGCCTGAGATCTTGACGAAATTAACAGGACAGAAGCGCAGTCAATATAGACTTCTGAATACGAGTGTTGTGAATAAAACTTTAATATAGACCATAATTAGTCTGTATGGTGTTGTTTAAGTCATAAGTTAGCATCGCACATTTGCAATTAAAATAGACCCGCCCTAATAATTGGCTAGACCGACAAATTAAGATCTGTTATTAGGAGAGTTACGGTTTCCAACAGTTTAATGAAGAAACCTGAAAGTGAACTACATAAGTACAAATTTTCAAATCAATTTCGGTTCGCAAATCAGTATGTTTCTATTTGGGTATTGCTACTAAGACACTATTTGAAAAAAAAAATTCCTTTTAAGGGTATTCTACATCTTAGGTGATTTACACTTTCAACTTCCTTCTTTTCGATGCTGCAATACTCAGCATGACACAAGAAAGAAGAGTTCTGTACCACTAAAGTAAACTTCGCAGCAGTTCTTATTCATTTTGACGAAGCTGTTTTGTATGTTAAAAACGGCCACAAGTCCACTTTCGCTTTACGAAGCCACACACTTTTCTTTTTCCTCGGAAACACCTGGTTTCAAGCGCAAATCGTCATTATCATTGATCATATTCTCATCACATTTACCTGCTAATCGTCACTAGCCCTTGTGGAAACAAAAAATTTTTCAAGAGATAACTTGGCCATCTGAGGACGCTCATTTAACTATAGACATGTTCACTTACGAAATATAGCGTTATTTCTAAACGAGTATATGTCAGCTACGATGCCAATGTTCTTAAAATGTTTACTTCTTTTTTTTTTCTTTCGCAACAGAGAAATTAATTTGGCGGTTAAGGTGCAACGGGTTTATATGTTGAATATTAATTTATTCATATTTTTCACCTGCTGGAAATTGTTTACTACAATTTTCATCGTTCGTCCAAACGTACTCCTAAAATTTTTATTTGCCTTACAATGTCACATCTAAATCTTATTCTTTGGTTTCAAAATTCAGGCGCTCAGTGCGTCGACGCGTCGTCTCTTTTCATTTTCATCCGATTTCACCTCCCATAACGATAAGCTTAATAAAGCTAACTAAAATTGCAAGACGATCGTTTTGAAAGCTTTCATTTGAATCAATTAACCACGTTTCAGGTTTTCGCTAACAAATAAAAAGTGAAAGGCATGTACTTCCCATTCAGGGGTTTAATAACCAACACCTCATAAGAAGAACTATTCAAACTGCGTTTCACAGTTTTAACATACAGTGTTTGTTTCTTTAAAGCAAATTAGCAAAAAGCTTATTACAATTGCTTAGTTCTTCTCGAATCCCTTTCATAAATTTATGCCTAAAGCTCTGTGCAAACGTTATTTTCTACCAGGGCACATATTTTTCGTACCACAACATGAAACTGAAGAGTCCTAGGGCGCTAAATGAGATATTTGACTCGACTTTATATATACCTTGTGTCTTAAGCCGCGAGTTTTACATCTAGTCAACAGAAGGTCATTTTTTTTTCTAAAAAAACGCCTACATTAGCCCTGATATTTTCGGGAAGTTTTCCTTTTTAATGTTGAAATACAATTGAAATTGTCGTTTAAAGAGAACACAGAAGTGTTCTAGGTATAGTGTCTACCACTGACGACTGTTTGACCGGTCCATAGTGAATATCAGTTGTAAAAGGAGTAAACAGAACTAATGTATTCATCATTGTTAAATAATGTCCGCCCTGCATTCATTGCATCATCAAAGCTGCATCAGCATTCTATTGACATCGGAGCTGCCACACCAACGTCATCAAAGCATTACTGATCTACTTTATTTGCAACCGTATTTCTCTACATCAAACAAAAATTAAAAATTACTATTATAACAGAATTATATTGACATCAGAGCGACCATAGCAACGTAATGACATCATTATCCATTTTAATTGTAGCCGTATTTCTCTACATCAAACAAAAATTAAAAATTACTATTATAACAGAATTATATTGACATCAGAGCGGCCATAGCAACGTAATGACATCATTATCCATTTTAATTGTAGCCGTATTTCTCTACATCAAACAAAAATTAAAAATTACTATTAACAGAATTATATTGACATCAGAGCGACCATAGCAACGTAATGACATCATTATCCATTTTAATTGTAGCCGTATTTCTCTACATCAAACAAAACTTAAAAATTGCTATTAACAGAATTATATTGACATCAGAGCGACCATAGCAACGTAATGACATCATCATCCATTTTAATTGTAGCCGTATTTCTCTACATCAAACAAAGATTAAAAATTGCCATTAATGACATCACTATATATATTTTACTTGAAACCGTATTTCTCGGGCAAGGGAGGTATATTTTACAAAATTGCTCACGGGAGTTTTTTCCTGCTATAGCTTACTCAATACTCGTACAGCTTAAGCCCTACAGTACAGGTTTACAGTATGCTCTTCTTGAGTAGCAATTCCGATTATCTTCTTGCACTAATGAATGTCTCCCTTAACCGACCAACGTACAACAATATGAAAATGAACTTTGGTTTTAACCGCATGAGTACAAACTTTTAACGCATAAGCTTCAGTTTTCAACTCAGAAAGTATCCATACATTATCTATTATTGTCACTCATTATAGTTATGGTTTCTGATCACTGCATTAAAATTACCCGCTAAATGTTAATTGTCCTTGTGTAAACAGGAAGTTTCTCTGAGGGAGAACTTGCGCATCTTCGTAGGCTTCACGTTTATCATTTTAACTACAGATTTGTTAATTGATCAAATATAAGCTAATATAGCCCTGTTCCTGCGATGTTTTTAAAAAACGTCTTTTCTCTTCTGCAACAGAGAAATTAATCTAACAATTAAGGTGCAGGGGGATTATAGTTACGCTGTTATATTACATGCATAAACTATGAATATTAATGACTGTCAAAGACAGTGGGTATTATTTTCCCGGCGAGTTTAAAGCGACTGAAACTCTTTTTAAAGAGGTTTTTCTGGCCTTTTTAGCAGTCTTAACATCGAAAGACTTGTTTTCTTACTCTATAAAGCCAAAAAAAAAAAATAATCAAAGAGAAAACTTCAAATTTTGACCCAATATAATGGGTTAACCCCTTCGGAAAAATCTAATATGGCCAACCCCACAAATGGACTCTATAAACGGTCTGTTCGACCTTTTTAGCCCTCTTTTAAAAACATCGTCAAACATCTTTTATTACTCTATTTAGACAAAAAACGATCAAAGTACAGCGATGACCTATACGATGAACAAGGTGCGACCTGTCAGTATAGTTGCTGTGTGTGGGTATCAACGTAGCGGCACTGTTCGTGATAGGCCAGTTCAAGTCTTCCGACTGGGGATGTTGTTCTGTTGCATCTTTTCTCTATCACTGTAGGTTAACTCAACAGCAAAGACACTTACGAATGGTGTTTTTTACTTCCTGTCTGACATCTTTGATTCTCCAACAGTAAAGGACTGGATTCAGAGATGAATTTAAAAAGACGAGACAAAAGAAAACTTCACCCGCGATCTTAGAATAATCTATAATTCCAAAATTCCAAAGAAATGCCATCACGATGTAAGGACCATAACAAGCAAGCATAGCAAACTGTATCCAAGCTACGGTATACACTGTCTTCTTGTATCGTGCTATGTTCAATACACTTCTTACTCTGCTTGACTGTTCTGGTTGAACATGATTTTGCACATGGGCTTGTTGATGACGGAGGGTGAAAAAAATCTTCGTGTACGAAAATGTTGAGACTATTATAGAAAAAATGACTAAAGCTCGGAAGGTCCACCACGAGGTATGAAATACGATCGAAGCCAAGCTGTACAAAGAAGCATTTGAAACAGCAATGAACCAAACACAAGCTATGACCAGACGAACTCGGCATAAAGTTACAACGTGTCTGTATCTCAGGCCCAACAACAGAGCGAGAAGTCTGTCAACACTGATGGCAGCCGATGTTAAGGGTGATACCGCAACCAACACGCTAATGATAAACGCAAATACGTAAGCTAGTTCTACGATGAAGTTACCAATATCAGGAGAGATTCTAATGTACATACCGTAAACGTAAAGTGGTTGACCAAGAAGACCAACACAAAGATCAGGTATCGCCAGACATCGAAATAGGAGCTTCGTCGGTGGACGAATGGAGGAAACGTTTCGTAGAGCAACTAGGATTAGAACATTGCCCAGAGTTGCAAAGATGGAAAGAAAAATGTTCAGGGCTGTAAGAGATATCCATACTCCTGATGGTATCTTCGCTATTACAGATGTTCCGTTAGTGTTGTTTGCCATCGGTTTTGAAAACCCCGATCAAGCGTGACGCAAAAGAAACGCCGATTTCAGTTAGATGGAAAGAAAAATGTTTAAGGATATGCCGAGAAATATGTGAACTCCTGGCGGCATCTTCGTAACTACAAATGTCTCATTCGTATTGTTTGCAATTGGTGTTGAAAGCCCCCGATTTAGCTTTATGAAAAAGAAACGTCGATTTGAGTTAACGTTCAGTTTCTTCAGCTGCAAGGCTACAGAAGACGGATGAACTTCCTCGGACAAAACAGCTTGTGAACGAAACAGTTAATTTACTTGTGACAGTTCTAGACAGAAACTGGCAAGTTAAATTAAAAAGTAGACTTAGACTCCAAATTCACCTGCTGTTGCATGAAACGTATCAGTTACGCTCATTCTTAATATCTTTTAGACAGGTTCAATTGTTGAAGGCTATAAGAAATATCCAAACTCCGGATAGTATCTTCGTTGTTACAAATGTCCCATTCATGTTGTTTGCCATTGGTGTTGATTAAAAAAAGCTTTATGGAAAAGAAACGTCAATTTGAGTTAGCGTTAGGTTTCTTTAGCTGCAAAGGTAAACAAGATGAACTTCCTCGGACAAAACAGCTTGTCAACGAAATAGCAGATTTATTCAGTTAAAAATACTGTCGTTGCATTAAAGTATCAATTAAGCCGATTCCTAATATTTTTTAGACAGGTTGACTTTACTGCTCGCTAAAGAACTATCCAATAATATTATTACAAAATAAGATGTGATATGTACTTTGACGATGCTCATTGTAAAATAGGGGTACAAGAAAAGTGGAGGTTAACAAACCACAGTGCAGGAGATATGCTGTCATTTCAACTAAAACAAATTATTGAGCAGTCGTCCAGGTTGACATGCTGACTTTACTGCTGGCTAAAGAACTAATTGAAACATAAACGTCGGGAAACCCTTGTCAGTTGACCACTTCGTTACATGTGATATGAAAGGCGAACAGAAAGTGGTCAAAACGTACATAGCCATCGCGGCTACAGCCAAAAATATTAAGTAGACGTTGAAAATTGCTTCGCAATGGTTTTCTTATATAAGTATTTTGACTGTTACATTATTACAACTTCCTGCATAAACATCTGGATTTCCTGGGTAATAATAGCTACCAATTAATTTCTCCCTGCTTGGTAATGACTTTCTTCCTTAATGCTAACTTGTTTTTTTGTGCGGAATATATTTTCGACTTTCATTATTAGCATTAACATGTAATAGGGGTCCTGAGACAACTGGAGTAACAACTCTCATTCGTTGTCAGATAAAGGAGCTGTTCGATATAAATGAAAACGGCACATTATATCGGTGTTCAACGGTACGAAGAATCCTGCGAGAAAATGGACTCCCAAGGTGTCTCGACTGAATTTTCAGGGCAATTTCCGAAGCACTTTAGAAAGGCGTCTACCTACATTTACCTCTAAAATCTAGAGCGGCAAGTACCCAAAAAGGGCGGACTACTAAGACTATATACACGCTATAGCGGACTGCTTTTAGTCTTTTCCGGCTGCCAACACGAAAAAATATCCGGTATAGTATGAACACTTGTCGGATATGTAACTCTCCACTTTAGAGATCGGCGTAACTTCGCTTCGTTACGGAGATCGAGCCGAGCCGAGCCGAGCCGAGTGGTTTTTATGTGTGAACAGAAGCCCTGCTATCCCGTCCCGGGGGGGTACTGCCATATATGGGCTATATAGGTATGTGCCGCTGTGAAGGGTATGGTTTTCAAGCAGTTTACTCTAGGATAGGGTATATAAATCAGAGCGTTTGGGTCTAGAATAGGGTATCATTTTTCAGGAAACTGATCAGTTGGTTGAAGATTTATCTAGACTAGGGAAACAGCTACTCTAGGATAGGGAGACTTGGGGAGTTTACTCTAGTATAGGGTAGCAAAATTCAGTTGAACTAGCTCTGGTATAGGTTAAGTGTTCCAGGGTCCCAGCGGCACATCCCCACCCAGAAATTTCTCAAGTACCCCCCGGGTATCCAGTTTGGTCTTAAAGCCAGCGCAAAAGCTCTCTGGTACTGATAGTGTAAACAGATCCCAAGTTAACTTATCGAATATAGCTTTATTTCTAAACGTCAAGTACTTAGCTACTGTACCAATGTTTCCAAAATATCTACTTTTTTCGCTGTTGCAACAGGAAAATCATTCTAACATAATTCATTCAAGGTGCAAGGAACTAGAACAAAATATGTATAGTAGTAGCCATCTCTGCTACCACCAAAAATATTTAACAAATTTGCTTCGCAATGGACTTCTTGTCTAAGTATTTTGACTTCTGCATTATTAAAACTTCCGGCATAATTTATCTAGTAAGAAACATAATTATCTTTGGATATTTGGTAATGAATTTCTTCCTTTATACTAACTTGTTGAAAGTGCGTATAATATTTTCTTTTCATTCTCATTATCAACATTAACATATAATAGAGGATGTTGCATTGGGGTCCTGCTAAACTATCTACGACAACTGGAGTACAGGATCTCATTCGTTGTTGGATAGAGGAGCGGTTCGTTACAAAATGGCTCATTATATCGGTGTTCAACGGTACATAAAATAAAAAATCCAGAAAAAAATGGACTCTCAAGGTGGCTCGATTGAAACCTGTTTCACCCGGCGGCAATACCTCCCAAGTTTGAGCATTAACTACGTCAGTCGCCATTACAAAAAATATCACTTATGTTCATGATTGTATGCCGACGCAAACTTTACAAAAATAAAGGTTCTTTTTATAGTTTTCGACGAATTTTATCCTTGACATACTGTGCCTCAACAATCAAGGGTAGATTTAGGGGTGGGCCGAAGGGTCTGCGGCCACCCCTTCTTCTTTGAAATTTTGAATTATTTTTATAGAATTCTCAGAAAAATGAAAAGTATCTATATAGCTGGCAAGTGGGCAAGTGATCCGCCACTAAAAATATATGAAAACGATCACCCAAGCTGCATCAGACAAACATAAAAAAATTCTACTTAACAGTATTCTATTGACATTGGAGCTGCCATACCAACGTCATGAAAGCCGTTATCTATTTCATTTGCAGCCGTATTTCTCTACATCAAACAAAGATTAAAAATTGCTATTAATAGAATTATATTGACATCAGAGCGACCATAGCAACGTAATGACATCATCATCCATTTTAATTGTAGCCGTATTTCTCTACATCAAACAAAAATTAAAAATTGCTATTAACAGAATTATATTGACATCAGAGCGACCATAGCAACGTAATGACATCATTATCCATTTTAATTGTAGCCGTATTTCTCTACATCAGACAAAGATTAAAAATTGCCATTAAAAGAATTATAGTGACATAGGAGCTGCCTTAGCAACGAAATGACATCATTATCCATTTTATTTGCAACCGTATTTCTCTATATCAGACAAAGATTAAAAATTGCCATTAATGATATCACTATCTATATTTTACTTGAAACCGTATTTCTCGGACAAGGGAGGTATATTTTACAAAATTCCTCACGGGAGCTTGTTCCTGCTACAGCTTACTCAATACTCGTACAGCTTAAGCCCTACAGTACAGGTCTACAGTATGCTCTTCTTGAGTAGCAATTCCGATTATCTTCTTGCACTAACGAATGTCTCCCTTAACCGACCAACGTACAACAATATGAAAATGAACTTTGGTTTTAACCGCATGAGTACAAACTTTTAACGCATCCGCTTCAGTTTTCAACTCAGAAGGTATCAATACATTATCTATTATTGACATTGATTATAGTTATGGTTTCTCATCACTGCATTAAAATTACCCGCGCTAAGTGTTAATTGTCCTTGTGTAAACAGGAAGTTTCTCTGAGGGAGAACTTGCGCATCTTCATGCGCTTCACGTTTATCATTTTAATTACAGATCTGTTAACTGATTAAATATAAGCTAAAATAGCCCTGTTCCTGCGATACCAATGTTTTAAAAAAACTTCGTTTCTCTTCCGCAACAGAGAAATCAATCTAACAATTGAGGTGCCAGGGGATTATAGTTACGCTGTTATATTACATGCACAAACTGTGAATATTATTGACTGTTTAAGACAGCGGGTATTATTTTCCCGGCGAGTATAGAGCGACTGAAACTCTTTATAAAGAGGTTTTTCTGGCCTTTTTAGCAGTCTTAACATCGAAAGACTTGTTTTCTTACTCTATTAAGCAAAAAAACACCAACAACAACAACAATCAAAAAGAAAACTTCAAATTTTGACCCAATATAATGGGTTAACACCTTTGGAAAAATCTAATATGGCCAACCCCACAACTGGACTCTATAAACGGTCTGTTCGGCCTTTTTAGCCCTCTTTTAAAAACATCGTCAAACATCTTTTATTACTCTGTTTAGACAAAAAACGATCAAAGTACAGCGATGACCTATACGATGAACAAGGTGTGTCCTGTCAGTATAGTTGCTGTGTGTGGGTATCAACGAGCGGCACTGTTCGTGACAAGGCAGTTGTCTCCATTGTTCTGTTGCATCGTTTCTCACTGTAGGTTAACTCAACAGCAAACACACTTACGAATGGTGTTTTTTACTTCCTGCCTGACATCCTTGATTCTCCAACAGTAAAGGACTGGATTCAGAGATGAATTTAAAAAGATGAGACAAGTGGAGACTCTAACCGCGACTCCTACTTCAGAGGAATAATCTATATTTCCAAAATGCCAAAAAAATGAAATCACGATGAAAGGACCATAACAAGCAAGCATAGCAAACTGTATCCAAGCTACGCTATACACTGTCTTCTTATACCGTGCTACGTTCAGTACACTTCTTACTCTGCCGCTGGACTGTTCTGGTTGAACATGATTATGTACTTCGGCTTGTTGATGACGGAGGGCGAAAAAAATCTTCGTGTACGAAAATGTTGAGACTATTATAGAAAAAATGCCAAAAGCTCGGGAGGTCCACCACGAGGCAAGTTTTAACTTACCATGAAATAGGATCCGAGCCACCAAGTGCAAACAAGCGTTTAAAACAGCAATGAACCAAACACAAGCTATGAGCACACGAACTCGGCATAAAGTTACAACGTGTCTGTATCTCAGCCCCAATAAGAGAGCGAGAAGTCTATCAACACTGATGGCAGCCAATGTTAGGATGGATACCTCAAGCAACACGGTAATGATAAACTGACATACGTAAAATAGTTCTACGATGAAGTTACCAATATCAAGATAGTTTGTAATGTACCAAACATAAACGTAAAGTGGTTGACCAAGAAGACCAACACAAAGATCAGTTATCGCCAGACATCGAAATAGGAGCTTCGTCGGTGGATGAATGGAGGAAACGTTTCGTAGAGCAATTAGGATTAGAACATTGCCCAGAGTTGCAAAGATGGAAAGAAAAATGTTCAGGACTATAAGAGATACCCATACCCCTGATGGTCTCTTCGCTATTACAGATGTTCCGTTGGTGTTGTTTGCCATCGGTTTTGAAAACCCCGATCAAGCTTTATGCAAAAGAAACGCCGATTTCAGTTAGATGAAAAGAGAAATGTAAAAGGATATGCCGAGAAATATGTGAACTCCTGGCGGCATCTTCGTAACTACAAATGTCACATTCTCAGCTTTATGCGAAAAAAAACGTCGATTTGAGTTAACGTTAGGTTTCTTCAGCTACAAAGCTGAACAAGATGAACTTCCTCGGACAAAACAGCTTTTCAACGAAATAGCAAATTTATTCAGTTTGTTATAGACCTAGACAGAAACTGCCAAGTTAAATTTAAAAACACTTAACTCCAAATTAACCTGTCCTTGCATCAAACGTATCAATTAAGCCGATTCCTAACATTTTTAAGACAGGTTGACTTTGCTGCTCGCTAAAGAACTATCCAAAAATATTAATACAAAATAAGATGTCATATGTACTTTGACGACATGGATATAGTAAAATAGAGGTACACGAAAACTGGAGGTTAACAAACCACAGTGAAGGAGATATGCTGTCAATTCAACTAGAACAAGTTATTGAGTAGTAGTTCCGGTTGACATGTTGACTTTGTTGCTCGCCAAAGAACTAATTTAGACACAAACGCCAGGAAACGCTTCTCAGTTAACAACTACGTTACAGGTGATATGAAGGCTAACAGAAGGTGGTCTAAACGTACATAGCCATATCGGCTACAGCAAAAAATATTAAGTAGATGTTGAAATTTGCTACTCATATTCTTGTATTAGTATTTTGACAATTGCATTATTACCACTTCCTACATAAACATCTGCATTTCCTGGGTATTAACAGTTACCAATTAATTTCTCCCCGTTTGCTAATGACTTTCTTCCTTAATGCTAAATTGTTTTTCTTTTGTGTATATATTTTTTATTTTCATTATTAGCATAACAGGAAATGTTGTATTTGGGTCCTGTGACAACTGCAGTAAAAAATCTCATTCGTTGTCGCATAAAAGAGCTGTTCGATATAAAACGGCTCATTATATCAGTGTTCAGCGGTACAATAAGAGTCCACCGATAACTGAATGGACTCTCAAGGTGGCTCGACAGAATTTTCAGGGCAATTTCCGAAGCACTTTAGAAAGGCGTCTACCTACATGTGTATCATTTACCATTAAAATCTAAAACGGCAGGTAACTAAAAAGGGCGGAATACTAAGGCTACATACACACTATAGCGGATTGTTTTTCGTGTTATACGGTATAGTATGAACACCTGTACTACGGATATGTAACTCTCCACTATAAGTCAAAACGTAACATCCGGTGGTTTGTTTTACTCGCCAGGGCTTCACTTTTGTCGGTAACAACTAATTCAAGATAGACTGTGCACCTATCAAGAATCGGCATCTTCCACTATTTACCCCTCGAAGGTGGGGGGAATACCCAGTACAATGGCCTATACGGGGAGGCTCCGCCTGAAAGGGGTACCTTTTTCAGGCTTCAGGTATATGAAAGAGAGAGGATTTTACTGGTTGAAGTATATGAAAGTGTAGGGTCATCGGTTATTTCGGTCGGTAAAAAGGCCCAAAAGGGCTCACAGATTTATTCTAAGGCTGTGAAAAAGTCGAGAAAACGTTCTGGTTTTGTGATTTACTCATATTATAAATTCAGTGCCTTTACAATGGTTGAAAGGGATGCAAAATTCTAAATTAGTTATAAGAAAGGGGTATCATTTGTCAAAAGAAGGCATAGGAAAGGGGTACCTTTTCCGTCAAAAATGGTATGTAAAAGGATAAGGGGTTGGACCGACCTCCGGGCAAGGCCTCCACGTATAAAACTTTATCGATCAACACCACCCCCCCCCGGGTAATTACCGCAGCAGGAGTAGCTCAGGCGGTACAGCGCTTGTCTGCAGAGCGGATGGACGCAGGGCCGATCTCGGTGGCCGCACCACTATTCAGCGTCTTTGAATAATTGAGAAATGATGGTACACTGACTTTCCTCGGTAAACAAGCCAGACTTTTACTCGGATGAGTACTTAGAAATGGCGGTCCTGTCTCCAGTAGGAGACGTAAAAAAATTGTTCCCAATTAGCAGTTTCTTACTACATACATTGACAATTTAGAAATAAAATGCTTCGCCTGAGATATTGACGAAATTAACAGGACAGAAGCGCAGTCAATATAGACTTCTGAATACGAGTGTTATGAATAAGACTTTAATATAAAGCATAATTAGAGTTTGTATGGTGTTGTTAAAGTCATAAGTTAGCATCGCACATTTGCAATTAAAATAGACCCGCCCTAATAATTGGCTAGAAAAAGTTTCGTCACGACTGTCAGCTAAAATATCCATTACTTAACATGCAAACTCCAACTCCGACCGACAGATTAAGATCTGTTATTAGGAGAGTTACGGTTTCCAGCAGTTTAGTTAAGAAACCTCAAAGGATATGAAAGCGAACTACTTAAGTACAAATTTTCAAATCAATTTCGGTTCGCAAATCAGTATGTTTCTATTTGGGTATTGCTACTAAGACACTATTTGCAAAAAAAATTCCTTTTAAAGGTATTCTACATCTTAAGTGATTTACACTTTCAACTTCCTTCTTTTCGATGCTGCAATATTCAGCACGACGCAAGAAAGAAGACTTCTGTACCACTAAAGTAAACTTCGCAGCAGTTCTTATTCATTTTGACGAGGCTGTTTTGTATGTTAAAAACGGCCACAAGTCCACTTTCGCTTTACGAAGCCACACGCTTTTCTTTTTCCTCGGAAACACCTGGTTTCAAACGCAAATCGTCATTATCATTGATCATATTCTCATCACATTTACCTGCTAATCGTCACTAGCCCTTGTGGAAACAAAAAATTTTTCAAGAGATAACTTGGCCATCTGAGGACGCTCATTTAACTATAGACATGTTCACTTACGAAATATAGTGTTATTTCTAAACGAGCATATGTCAGCTACGATGCCAATGTTCTTAAAATGTTTACTTCTGTTTTTTTTCTTTCGCAACAGAGAAATTAATTTGGCGGTTAAGGTGCAACGGGTTTATATGTTGAATATTAATTTATTCATATTTTTCACCTGCTGGAAATTGTTTACTACAATTTTCATCGTTCGTCCAAACGTACTCCTAAAATTTTTATTTGCGTTACAATGTCACATCTAAATCTTATTCTTTGGTTTCAAAATTCAGGCGCTCAGTGCGTCGACGCGTCGTCTCTTTTCATTTTCATCCGATTTCACCTCCAATAACGATAAGCTTAATAAAGCTAACTAAAATTGCAAGACGATCGTTTTGAAAGCTTTCATTTGAATCAATTAACCACGCTTCACCTTTTCGCTAACAAATAAAAAGTGAAAGGCATGTACTTTCCATTCAGGGGTTTAATAACCAACACCTCATAAGAAGAACAATTCAAACTGCGTTTCACAGTTTTAACATACAGTGTTTGTTTCTTTAAAGCAAATTAGCAAACAGCTTATTACAATTGCTTAGTTCTTCTCGAATCCCTTTCATAAATATATGCCTAAAGCTCTGTGCAAACGTTATTTTCTACCAGGGCACATATTTTTCGTACCACAACATGAAACTGAAGAGTCCTAGGGCGCTAAATGAGATATTTGACTCGACTTTATATATACCTTGTACAACACTTAAGTGTTTTAAGCCGCGAGTTTTACATCTAGTCAACAGAACGTCATTTTTTTCTTCTGAAAAAACGCCTACATTAGCCCTGCTATTTTCGGGAAGTTTTCCTTTTTAATGTTGAAATACAATTGAAATTGTTGAATAAAGAGAACACAGAAGTGTTATAGGTATAGTGTCTACCACTGACGACTGTTTGACCGGTCCAAACTGAATATCATGCAGTTGTAAAAGGAGTAAACAGAACTAATGTATCTATCAATAATGTCCGCCCTGCATTCATTGTATCATCGAAGCTGCATCAGAGAAAGATAAAAAAATTCTAATTAACAGCATTCTATTGACATCAGAGCTGCCACACCAACGTCATGAAAGCATTATCTATTTCATTTGCAGCCGTATTTCTCTACATCAAACAAAAATTAAAAATTGCTATTAACAGAATTATATTGACATCAGAGCGACCATAGCAACGTAATGACATCATTATCCATTTTAATTGTAGCCGTCTTTCTCTACATCAGACAAAGATTAAAAATTGCCATTAAAAGAATTATAGTGACATAGGAGCTGCCTTAGCAACGAAATGACATCATTATCTATTTTATTAGCAACCGTATTTCTCCATATCAGACAAAGATTAAAAACTGCCATTAATGACATCACTATCTATATTTTACTTGAAACCATATTTCTCGGACAAGGGAGGTATATTTTACAAAATCGCTCACGGGAGTTTTTTCCTGCTATAGCTTACTCAATACCCGTACAGCTTAAGCCCTACAGTACAGGTCTACAGTATGCTCTTCTTGAGTAGCAATTCCGATTAACTTCTTGCACTAACGAATGTCTCCCTTAACCGACCAACGTACAACGATATCGGAAACTGAACTTTATTTTTAACCGCATGAGTACAAACTTTTAACGCATAAGCTTCAGTTTTCAACTCAGAAAGTATCCATACATTATCTATTGTTGTAACTCATTATAGTTATGGTTTCTCATCACTGCATTAAAATTACCTGCTAAATGTTAATTGTCCTCGCGCAAACAAGAAGTTTCTCTGAGGGAGAACTTGCGCATCTTCATGCGCTTCACGTTTATCATTTTAATTACAGATCTGTTAATTGATAAAATATAAGCTAATATAGCCCTGTTCCTGCGATACCAATGTTTTTAAAAATCTTCTTTTCTCTTCTGCAACAAAGAAATTAATCTAACAATTAAGGTGCAGGGGGATTATAGTTACGCTGTTATATTACATGCATAAACTGTGAATATTAATGCCTGTTAAAGACAGTGGGTATTATTTTCCCGGCGAGTTTAAAGCGACTGAAACTCTTCATAAAGAGGTTTTTTCTGGCCTTTTTAGCAGTCTTAACATCGAAAGACTTCTTTTCTTACTCTATTAAGCAAAAAAATACAATAAAAAGAAAACTTCAAATTTTGACCCAATATAATCGGTTAACGCCATTGGAAAAATCTAATATGGCCACCCCCACAACTGGACTCTATAAACGGTCTGTTCGGCCTTTTTAGCCCTCTTTTAAAAACATCGTCAAACATCTTTTATTACTCTATTTAGACAAAACACGATCAAAGTACAGCGATAACCTATACGATCAACAAGGTGTGTCCTGTCAGCATAGGTTCTGTGTGAGGGTATCAACGTAGCGGCACTGTTCGTGATAGGCCAGTTGTCTTCCGACTGGGGATGTTGTTCTGTTGCATCTTTTCTCTATCACTGTAGGTTAACTCAACAGCAAAGACACTGACGAATGATGTTTTTCACTTCTTGTTTGACATCTTTGATTCTCCAACAGTAAAGGACTGGATTCAGAGATGAATTTAAAAAGAAGAGACAAGCGGAGACTTCACTCGCGATCATTACTTCAGTGGAATAACCTACATTTCCAAATTGCCAAAGAAATGCCATCACGATGTTAGGACCATAACAAGCAAGCATAGCAAACTGTACCCAAGCTACGCTATACACTGTCTTCTTGTATCGTGCCATGTTCCGTACACTTCTTACTCTGCCGCTTGACTGTTCTGGTTGAACATGACTTTGCAATTGGGCTTCTTGGTGACGGAGGGTGAGAAAAATCTTTATGTACGAAAATAACGAGATTATTATAGAAACCATTATTAAAGTTAGGAACGTCCACAACGAGGCAAGTATTACCTTATATTTAGATAGGACCCAAGCCACGCAGTCCAAAGAAGCGTTTGAAACACCAATGAACCAAACACAAGCTATGACCACACGAACTCGGCGTAAAGTTACAACGTGTCTGTATCTCAGGCCCAACAACAGAGCGAGAAGTCTGTCAACACTGATGGCAGCCGATGTTAGGGGCGATACCGCAAGAAACACGACATAGAAAAAGAAATGTACATACCAAAGTTCTCTGATGAAGTTACCAATAATCAAGTAAACGTAAAGTGGCTGACATATAAGACCAACACAAAGATCAGTAACAGCCAAACATCGAAATAACAGCTTCGTCGGTGGATAAATGGAGGATACATTTCGTAGAGCAACCAGGATCAGGGCATTTCCCAGAGTTGCAGTGATGGAAAGAAAACTGTTCAAGGCTATAAAAAATATGCCAATTCCTGGTGGCATCTTCGTAACTACAAATGTCCCGTTCCTGTTGTTTGCCCTTCTTGGTGTTGAAAGCCACTGATTAAGCTTTATGGAAAAGAAACGTCGATTTGAGTTAACGTTAGGTTTCTTCAGCTGCAAAGCTACACAAGATGAACTTCCTCGGACAAAACAGCTTGTCAACGAAATAGCAAATTTATTCAGTTTGTTATAGACTTAGACAGAAACTGCCAAGTTAAATTTAAAAACACTTAACTCCAAATTAACCTGTCGTTGCATCAAACGTATCAATTAAGCCGATCCCCAAATTTTTAAGACAGGTTGACTTTCCTGCTCGCTAAAGAACTATCCAAAAACATTAATACAAAATAAGATGTTATATGTACTTTGACCATCGATATCGTAAAATAGGGGTACACGCCAATTGGAGGTTAACAAACCACAGTGAAGGAGATATGCTGTCATTTCAACTAGAACAAATTATTGAGTAGTAGTTCAGGTTGACATGTTGACTTCCTTGCTCGCTAAAGAACTAATTGAGACAGGCAGGTGATGTTACAGGTGATATGAAGGGTAACAGAAAGTGGTCTAAACGTATATAGCCATATCGGCTACAGCCAAAACTATTAAGTAGATGTTAAAATTTGCTTCGCAATGGACTTCTCGTATTAGTATTTTGACAATTGCATTATTAAAACTTCCTGCACAAACATCTGCATTTCCTGGGTAATAACAGTTACCAATTAATTTCTCCCTGCTTGGTAATGACTTTCTTCCTTAATTCTAGCTTGTTTTTTGTGCATATATTTTTTATTTTCATCATTAGCATAATAGGAAATGTTGTATTGGGGTCATGTGACAACTGCAGCAAAAAAACCTCATTCGTTGCCGCATTAAGGAGCTGTTAGATATAAAACGACCAAGAGACTATAAAGGGGACAGAGAGGGCATCCCCCATATACACCCTATTCCATAGGTAATTCGTCTCGAGTTATTTTTAGAATCGGGATAAAGTTACCTCGCGCGAGGCGTGGATGTTTCGTGGAGGTTTCGCATGACCAAACGCCGTGCAAAACATGTCGGGCGAGAGGCAATGAAAGCGTAAAAAGATCGAGAGCATTCCTGAATATTGAAGCGAAATGAGTCGGCGCTCACGTGGGAAAAAGGAATCGCTGGACTCTTTGACAACCCGCGAAATCAGTTTAACTCGAAGTTGTCGTAACCCCAGTGCTTTAACAAAATGAGAAATTTCGCCGGTCTATTGAAACCGGTCGTTTGTACAATTTAGGGAGTCTAAGATCCAACGACGCGGACGACACCTAGAACGTCAAAAAAACAATAGGTTTTATTAGCAAAACAACAACTTCGCACGTGCAACACACTTTTTTGTTCATTTCTTTCCCGTTTTTGCACGACTACTACGTGAAAATGCCTAATTTCGCGTTTTATGGAGGACGTAAATAAGCAACGACGAAATTTTATTTCTCTTTCTGAGCTAGAATATGGTCCCTTGAAATTCAGCTTTAGGAGGGTTCGCCTACAATTGACAAAGTAAGTGGGTAGGAATAATCGCTATAAAGACTGAAAAAAATAAACATCAAACCAGAAATTGCTCTCTTCAAACTGTAAATTATAAATGATCCTGAGAGAATATTCAGTGTGTTAAGGACTTCCCTGCTCTACTGTTAGCTCTATACAAGAGAGGAAGGGCGATTCTTTTTTAATTTCGGTTTCGCTGACACAGCTTTCGCAGAAATCTCGCTGTAGTCGTTTTCGTCGACAAAAGGAATAGCAAAATCGCTCTCCGCGTCTTGCCCCATTTTGTTCTGCGTCATTTCGTGAAGGACGCGTGGCTCCCCTTGAGATCTGTGGTGTTAAAAATAACTCGAGACGAATTACCTATGGAATAGGGTGTATATGGGGGATGCCCTCTCTGTCCCCTTTATAGTCTCTTGAAACGACTCATTATATCGGTGTTCAACGGTACAATACGAATCCAGCAAGAAATTAAAATGGACTCTCAAGGTGGCTCGACTGAATTTTCAAGGCAATTTCCGAAGCACTTTAGAAAGGCGTCTACCTACTGATACCTTTTAAATCTAAAACAGCAATTAACCAAAAAGGGCGGAATACTAAGACAATATACACGCTATAGCGGATACTTTCCTGTTATCCGGTATAGTAAGAACACCTGTACTGCGGATATGTAACTCTCTACTACAAGTAAAAACGTAACACACGGTGGTTTGTTTTACTCGCCAGGACTTCACTTTTGTCGGTAACAACTAATTTAAGATAGACTGTCCACCCATCATATACTAAGTGCAATGGCCTATACGGGGAGGCTCGCCCTGAAATGGGTACCGTTTTTCAGGCTTCTGGTCTATGAAAGGGAAGGGATTTTACTGGTTGAAGTATATGAAAGTGTAGGGTTATTATTTCGGTACGTAAAAAGGCCCAAAAGGGCTCACAGATTTATTCCAAGGCTGTGAAAAAGTCGGGAAAACGTTCTGGTTTTGTGATTTATTCATATTTTAAATGCAGTGCCTTTACACTGGTTGAAAGGGATGCAAAATTCTAAATTAGTTATAAGAAAGGGGTATCATTTGTCAAAAAAAGGCGTAGGAAAGAGGTGATTTTTCGGTCAAAATGGTATTTAAAAGCCGGATAAGGGGTTGGACGGACCTCCGGGAGGAGCCTCCCCGCATAAAACTTTCTTGATCAAATCTCTCACGGAAGTTTTTTCCTGCTATAGCTTCCTCAATACTCGTACAGCTTAAGCCCTACAGTACAGGTCTACAGTATGCTCTTCTTGAGTAGCAATTCCGATTATCTTCTTGCACTAACGAATGTCTCCCTTAACCGACCAACGTACAACGATATGAAACTGAACTTTATTTTTAACCGCATGAGTACAAACTTTTAACGCATAAGCTTCAGTTTTCAACTCAGAAAGTATCCATACATTATCTATTATCGTCATTCATTATAGTTATGGTTTCTCATCACTGCATTAAAATACCCGCTAAATGTTAATTGTCCTTGTGTAAACAGGAAGTTTCTCTGAGAGAACTTGCGCATCTTCATGCGCTTCACGTTTATCATTTTAATTACAGATCTGTTAACTGATCAAATATAAGCTAAAAAAGCCCTGTTCCTGCGATACCAATGTTTTAAAAAAACTTCGTTTCTCTTCTGCAACAGAGAAATCAATCTAACAATTGAGGTGCAAGGGAATTATAGTTACGCTGTTATATTACATGCATAAACTGTGAATATTATTGACTGTTTAAGACAGCGGGTATTATTTTCCCGGCGAGTATAGAGCGACTGAAACTCCTTATAAAGAGGTTTTTCTGGCCTTTTTAGCAGTCTTAACATCGAAAGACTTCTTTTCTTACTCTACTAAGCAAAAAAACACCACCAACAACAACAATCAAAAAGAAAACTTCAAATTTTGACCCAATATAATGGGTTAACCCCTTTGGAAAAATCTAATATGGCCAACCCCACAACTGGACCCTATAGACGGTCTGTGCGGCCTTTTTGGCCCTCTTTTAAAAACATCGTCAAACATCTTTTATTACTCTATTTAGACAAAAAACGATCAAAGTACAGCGATAACCTATACGAACAACAAGGTCTGTCCTGTCAGTACAGGTGCTGTGTGTGGGTATCAACGTAGCGGCACTGTTCGTGATAAGCCAGTTGTCTTCCCACTGGGGATGTTGTTCTGTTGCATCTTTTCTCTATCACTGTAGGTTAACTCAACAGCAAAGACACTTACGAATGAGGTTTTTCACTTCCTGTCTGATATCTTTGATTCTCCAACAGTAAAGGACTGGATTCAGAGATGAATTTAAAAAGATGAGACAAAGGGAAACTTCACCCGCGACCATTACTTCAGTGGAATGATCTATATTTCCAAAATTCCAAAGAAATGCCATCACGATGTTAGGACCATAACAAGCAAACATAGCTAACTGTATCCAAGCTACGCTATACACTGTCTTCTTGTATCGTGCTATGTTCAGTACACTTCTTACAGTGCTCGACTGTTCTGGTTGAACATGACCTTGCACTTGAGCTTGTTGATGACGGAGGGTGAGAAAAATCTTCGTGTACGAAAATGTTGAGACTATTATAGAAAAAATGATAAAAGCTCGGTAGGTCCACCACGAGGCAAGTAATGACTCATAATGAAATAGGATCGAACCCACGCAGTACAAAGAAGCGTTTGAAACAGCAATGAACCAAACACAGGTTATGACCACACGAACTCGGCGTAAAGTTACAACGGGTCTGTATCTCAGTCCCAATAAGAGAGCAAGAAGTCTGTCAACACTGATGGCAGCCGCTGTTAGGATGGATACCGCAACCAACACGCGAATGATAAAGAGATATACGTAAACTAGTTCTACGATGCGGTTACCAATATCAAGAAAGATTGTAATGTACCAAAAGTAAATGTAAAGTGCTTGACCAAGAAGACCAACACAAAGATCAGTTATCGCCAGACATCGAAATAGGAGCTTCGTCGGTGGATGAATGGAGGAAACGTTTCGTAGAGCAACTAGGATTAGAACATTGCCCAGAGTTGCAAAGATGGAAAGGAAAATGTTCAGGGCTATTAAAAATATCCCTACTCTGGGTGGTATTGCCATTGGTGTTAAAAGCCACCGATTAGGCCTAATGCAAAAGAAATGGCGATTTCAGTTCGGTTTCTTCAGCTGCAAAGCAACAAAAGATGAACTTTCTCGAACAAACCAGCTTATGAACGATATAGCAAATCTATTTTTAATGGATTTACACAGAAACTGGCAAGTTAAATTAAAAGATACTTAGACCCCTAATTCACCTGCTGTTGCATCAAAGTTATCATTTTCGCTGGTTCGTAATATTTTTTAGACAGGTTGACTTAGCTGAAACCTAGCAAAAAATATTAACTACTACATACTTCTCTGACGATGAACCTCATAAAATAGGGGTACACGCAAAGAAGAGGTTAACAACCCACAAGGAAGGAGATACGCAGTCATTTTAACTAGAACAAAATATGTATAGTAGTAGTTCAGGGTGACATGTTCACTTCACTGCTCGCTAAAGAACTAATTAAGGCATAAACGTCAAGAAACGCTTCTCAAAGGAACGCTACTTTACATGCACAATAAAGGTTAAGAGAAAATGGCCAAAAACGTATATAGCCATCTCTGCTACCACCAAAATATTTCACAGAAGTTGTTGAAATTTGCTTCGCAATGGACTTCTTGTCCAAGTATTTTGACTTCTGCATTATTAAAACTTCCTGCACCACTAATCTAGATCTCCTTAGTAAGAGACAATAATTATCTTTGGATCTTTGGTAATGAATTTCTTCCTTTCTGATAACTTGTTTAAAGTGCATATAATATATTCTTTTCATTCTCATTATCAACATTAACATATAATAGAGGATGTTGTATTGGTGTCCTGCTAAAACTATCTACGACAACTGGAGTAAAGGATCTCATTTGTTGTTGGATAGAGGAGCGGTTCGTTACAAAATGCCTCATAATAGCGGAGCTCCACCCGCGCGCTTCGCGCGCGGGTGGGCGGAGCCCCATAGCTAGGGAAATGTGGTAATCTACCCATACCAGAAAATTTGGTAATCATGTGACCGTACACCGAGCGATTGAGCGAGAACACCACGGCAAAACGTCTACGCATGCGCCAGGTTGAGCATTTCCGGTCTCTTTTTCAGTCACACTTTCCAGTCAGATCAAAGTCTCCCGCGCGCGCTCGGCTTCATTCTGTGTGCGCAGCTTGTGGTTCAGTTGTTCTGCTTCATGCTGCTCGTGTTTTTGACTATTTTGTAGTTATTGAAATTGCTTTTATGGATAACCAGGCACAGATCACTGAAACAATTATTCGATTAGATTCAGAAAAGGTAAGATGATAATAACTCAGTGTGTAATTTTGGCTAGAGCGTCAGGTAAACTGATTTTCATTCACGAAAACAAAGGTTTTGACTGTTATTTTTCTCTTAACCTGGCTGAAACTAAGACATAAAAAACTATCATTGCAAGCTTGTGTATTGTAGTTCTAGTTTTCAGTTCTTCAGTTTCTCAGTCTTCATGCCTTAAAGCCGATTCGAGATTTATTTGAAAAACGGCAACACACAATCGCTTTGTACTTTTATTTACCAGTGAGTTTTACCGTGTTTTGAAACGAAACTCTTCTGAGTTGATTGCCATGAAACATAAGCTTAATTATACTGTTGAGGTTGGCAGCAAGTTGACAACTCTATTAATTTTTTTCATTCTCAGAATCAGAGAGCGAAAGCTGGTTCGATGGCTTTTAGAAGTCGAAGTTTTCATGCCTCGTATTTAGCAGCTGAAAGTTTCGTGTTTGCATGAGATGCAGCCGAGCCGCACAGTCTGAAATTATTGAAGTCTTCACTGACCAAAGAACAACCAAAGAACAACCATGTAAAAGAATTAAATAGGCATTTTCTTGAACGAAAGTCATTTATAGTCATGTTTAGTTTCCCAGCACTGAAAGCTCCGGGTGTTCGTGACTGCAGTCATCGAAGTCGAGGTTGTTATTAAATCCCGCACATCTTTTGTTTTGAGTTGTTGTTTTCTCTGATGATAAACAAATTGTTGAACGGACTAAAACTTTATTTCCTGGTTCTAGTGTGAATGATAATGATGACGGCTTTTTTTGGTTTCTTTCATAAGTATTGCAATTCTTTTCTTAGTTATCGCCTTCTCCCAAATCAACTTATGCCAAACCAGTAGCATTCAAGAAAGCCAGTAAAAACAACTTCGTCTTGTCGAGCGCTCGCGACCTGCAAACTTCAAACATCATTTTCACCGTTGGTGCAAACAGATAACCATGTGGTGCAAAAGTTTGACACTAGAAAAATACATAAGCTTTCGAATGAAGTGTTTTTTTTCGCCCCCTTTTTTGTCTGTTTCTCCCTTTTTGCTTTCAAACTTAGCGCGGCGGCAATGTTATGCTTACTCAATTGGTTTATATACTAGACCGGAAATAAAAAGCTGACCGGATGTTAAATTTTGTGCTCATGCGCAATGCGTTTTGCCGCGGTGTTGCGAGCGAGCGACCGTCCGTCCGGACCACAGGCATACCAATGTAAAATAACTCAATCAACAGGTATGGGAACCCAAATTCAACTCAAGGTTTTATTTGGAAGGAAATCACATGGCCGCCCGGACTTTTAGAAAGAAAAAAGTCGTGTCTTTTTCGGCGTTATTTTTTATGTGTACACTAACGTTGATAACAGAGAAAGAGCTAGAGCGAGTTATTGAAAATTCGTTGGAAGAAAAACATGGAAATTCAAGCGGCGGTGAGAAAATGAAAAATGCTAGCGGCCAGTAAGGTGAAAATGAGCGGCAGTGAAAAATAAAAGCGAACATGAACACTGGAAACAAAATATTGGGTAAGCACATACGACAATTTCTCAATAAAAATGGTGTGTAACTAGGAAGTTTGACGTTTCAGTCGTACAAAACAGTGTTGTAGTCGTCCAAAACAACGGCAAGGGAAAGACAAAAAAGGGTGCTGCACGCGCAATTTTGCTTTTTGCTAATTAGAAGAAAAAGTGTACTGCACGTGCAATTTGTTTTTTTGCTAATTAGATCTATTAGTCTTGACGCCATTTTCATTGTCGTCCCCCATTTAGCGTTACACGATTTATTTTCTTTTGTTTACACGTATTATTAACCAGAGCTTCGCTTTTAGCCCTGGCTATATCTTTATACTACCGCTGTTCTATGGTACACACAAAAAAAAATCCAGCAAAAAGATGGACTCTCAAAGTGGCTCGACTGAAGCATGTTTCACCCGGCGGCAATACCTCCCATGTTTGAGCATTAACAAAGTCGCCATTACAAAAAAAAAAGCTCATGTTCAGGATTGGATGCAAACTTTACAAAAATAAAGATTTTTTTATAGTCTTCGACGAATTTTATCCTTGGCATACTATGTCTCAAAACTCAAGGGCGGATTTAGGGGCGGGACGAGGGGGCCGAGGCCACCCCGTTTTTTTATTGATATTTTGTATTATTTTTATAAAATTCTCAGAAAAATGAAAAGTATCTATATAGCTGGCTAGTGGGCAAGTGATCCGCCCCTAAAATATATGAAAACGATCACCAAAGCTGCATCAGGAATAAATAAATTCTAATTAACAGTATTCTAGTGACATCGGAGCTGCAGTACCAACGTCATGAAAGCATTATCTATTTAATTTGCAGCCATATTTCTCTACATCAAACAAAGATTAAAAATTGCTATTAATAGAATTATATTGACGTCAGAGCGACCATAGCAACGTAATAACATCATTATCTATTTTAATTGTAGCCGTATTTCTCTACATCAGACTAAGATTAAAAATTGCCTTTAAAAGAATTTTAGTGCCATAGGAGCTGCCTTAGCAACGAAACGACATCGTTATCTATTTTATTTCCAACCGTATTTCTCCATATCAGACAAAGATTAAAAATTGCCATTAATGATATCACTATCTATATTTTACTTGAAACCGTATTTCTCGGACAAGGGAGGTATATTTTACAAAATCGCTCACGGGAGTTTTTTCCTGTTATAGCTTACTCAATACTCGTACAGCTTAAGCCCTACAGTACAGGTCTACAGTATGCTCTTCTTGAGTAGCAATTCCGATTATCTTCTTGCACTAACGAATGTCTCCCTTAACCGACCAACGTACAACGATATCGGAAACTGAACTTTATTTTTAACCGCATGAGTACAAACTTTTAACACATACGCTTCAGTTTTCAGCTCAGAAAGTATCCATACATTATCTATTATTGTCATTCATTATAGTTATGGTTTCTCATCACTGCATTAAAATTACCCGCTAAATGTTAATTGTCCTTGTGAAAACAGGAAGTTTCTCTAAGGGAGAACTTGCGCATCTGAATGCGCTTCACGTTTATCATTTTAATAACAGACCTGTTAACTGATCAAATATAAGCTAATATAGCCCTGTTTCTGCGATACCAATGTTTTAAAAAACTTTTTTCTCTTCTGCAACAGAGAAATGAATCCAACAATTAAGGTGCAAGGGGATTATAGTTACGCTCTTATATTACATGCATAAACTGTGAATATTAATGACCGTTTAAGACAGTGGGTATTATTTTCCCGGCGAGTATAAAGCGACTGAAACTCTTTTTAAAGAGGTTTTCTCGCCTTTTTAGCAGTCTTAACATCGAAAGACTTGTTTTCTTACTCTATAAAGCCAAAAAAAAAATAATAATCAAAGAGAAAACTTCAAATTTTGACCCAATGTAATGGGTAAACCCCTTTGGAAAAATCTAATATGGCCACCCCCACGACTAGACTCTATAAACGGTCTCTTCGGCCTTTATAGCCCTCTTTTAAAAACACGTCAGACATCTGTTATTACTCTATTTAGACAAAAAACGATCAAAGTACAGCGATAACCTATACGATCAACAAGGTGTGTCCTGTCAGTGTAGGTGCTGTGTGTGGGTATCAACGTAGCAGCACTGTTCGTGATAGGCCAGTTGCCTTCCGACTGGCGATGTTGTTCTGTTGCATCTTTTCTCTATCACTGTAGGTTAACTCAACAGCAAAGACACTTACGAATGATGTTTTTTACTTCCTGTCTGACATCTTTGATTCCCCAGCAGTAAAGGACTGGATTCAGAGATGAATTTAAAAAGAAGAGACAAAGGAAAACTGCACTCGCGATCCATACTTCAGTGGAATAACCTACATTTCCAAAATGCCGAAGAAATACCATCACGATGTTAGGACCATAACAAGCAAGCATAGCAAACTGTATCCAAGCTACGCTATACACTGTCTTCTTGTATCGTGCTATATTCAGCACACTTCTTACTCTGCTCGACTGTTCTGGTTGAACATGACCTTGCACTTGGGCTTGTTGGTGACGGAGGGTGAAAAAAATCTTTGTGTACGAAAATAACGAGATTATTATAGAAACCATTATTAAAGCCACGAACGTCCACAGCGAGGCAAGTGCTACCTTATATTTAGATAGGACCCAAGCCACGCAGTCCAAAGAAGCGTTTGAAACACCAATGAACCAAACACAAGCTATGACCACACGAACTCGGCGTAAAGTTACAACGTGTCTGTACCTCAGCCCCAACAACAGAGCGAGAAGTCTGTCAACACTTATGGTAGCCGATGTTAGGGGCGATACCGTAAGCAACACGAAAAAGAAAAAAATATATACATCCACAAGTTCTATGGTGGAGTTACTAATAGTCAAGTAAACGTAAAGTGGTTGACATACAAGACCAACACAGAGATCAGTAACAGCCAAACATCGAAATAACAGCTTCGTCGGTGGATGAATGGAGGATACATTTCGTAGAGCAACCAGGATCAGGGCATTGCCCAAAGTTGCAGTGATGGAAAGAAAAATGTTCAAGGCTATCAAAACTATGTCAACTCCTGGTGGCATCTTTGTAACTCCAAATGTCCCATTTGTGTTGTTTGCCATTCTTGGTGTTGAAAGCCACTGATTAAGCTTTATGGAAAAGAAACTTCGATTTGAGTTAACGTTAGGTTTCTTCAGCTGCAAAGCTGAACAAGATGAACTTCCTCGGACAAAACAGCTTTTCTACGAAATAGCAAATTTATTCAGTTTGTTATAGACCTAGACAGAAACTGCCAAGTTAAAATTAAAAACATTTCACTCCAAATTAACCTGTCGTTGCATCAAACGTATCAATTATGCCGATTCCTAACATTTTTAAGACAGGTTGACTTTACTGCTCGCTAAAGAACTATCCAAAAATATTAATACAAAATAAGATGTTATATGTACTTTGACGATCGATATCGTAAAAAAGGGGTACACGCAAATTGGAGGTTAACAAACCACAGTGAAGGAGATATGCTGTCATTTCAACTAGAACAAATTATTGCGTAGTAGTTCAGGTTGACATGTTGACTTTCTTGCTCGCTAAAGAACTAATTGAGACACAAACGTCAGGAAACGCTTCTCAGTTAGCCGCTATGTTACAGGTGATATGAAGGGTAACAGAAAGTGGTCTAAACGTATATAGCCATATCGGCTACAGCCAAAACTCTTAAGTAGATGTTAAAATTTGTTTCGCAATGGACTTCTTGTATTAGTATTTTGACAATTGCATTATTAAAACTTCCTGCACAAACATCTGCATTTCCTGGGTAATAATAGCTACCAATTAATTTCTCCCTGCTTGGTAATGACTTTCTTCCTTAATGCTCACTTGTTTTTTGTGCATATATTTTTTATTTTCATCATTAGCATGATAGGAAATGTTGTATTGGGGTCATGTGACAACTGCAGCAAAAAAACCTCATTCGTTGCCGCATTAAGGAGCTGTTCGATATAAAACGACCAAGAGACTATCAAGGGGACAGAGAGGGCATCCCCCATATACACCCTATTCCATAGGTAATTCGTCTCGAGTTATTTTTAGAATCGGGATAAAGTTACCTCGCGCGAGGCGTGGATGTTTCGTGGAGGTTTCGCATGACCAAACGCCGTGCAAAACATGTCGGGCGAGAGGCAATGAAAGCGTAAAAAGATCGAGAGCATTCCTGAATATTGAAGCGAAATGAGTGGGCGCTCACCTGGGAAAAAGGAATCGCTGGACTCTTTGACAACCCGTGAAATCAGTTTAACTCGAAGTTGTCGTAACCTCAGTGCTTTAATAAAATGAGAAATTTCGCCGGTCTATTGAAACCGGTCGTTTGTACAATTTAGGGAGTTTAATATCCAACGACGCGGACGACAACTAGAACGTCAAAAAAACAATAGGTTTAATTAGCAAAACAACAACTTCGCACGTGCAACACACTTTTTTGTTCATTTCTTTCCCGTTTTTGCACGACTGCGACGTGAAAATGCCTAATTTCGCGTTTTATGGAGGACATAAATAAGCAACGACGAAATTAAATTTCTCTTTCTGAGCTTGAATACGGTCCCTTGAAATTCAGCTTTAGGAGGGGTCGCCTACAATTGACAAAGTAAGTGGGTAGGAATAATCGCTATAAAGACTGAAAAAATAAACATGAAACCAGAAATTGCTCTCTTCAAACTGTAAATTATAAATGATCCTGAGAGAATATTCAGTGTGTTAAGGATTTCCCTGCTCTACTGTTAGCTCTATACAAGAGAGGAAGAGCGATTCTTTTTTAATTTCGGTTTCGCTGACACAGCTTTCGCAGAAATCTCGCTGTAGTCGTTTTCGTCGACAAAAGGAATAGCAAAATCGCTCTCCGCGTCTTGCCCCATTTTGTTCTGCGTCATTTCGTGAAGGACGCGTGGCTCTCAGCGTGGGTCATCCACGCGGAACACATTCGCGCTATGTGATTGGCTGTTGTCTAATCCCCCTTGAGATCTGTGGTGTTAAAAATAACTCGAGACGAATTACCTGTGGAATAGGGTGTATATGGGGGATGCCCTCTCTGTCCCCTATATAGTCTCTTGAAACGACTCATTATATCGGTGTTCAACGGTACAATACGAATCCAGCAAGAAATTAAAATGGACTCTCAAGGTGGCTCGACTGAATTTTCAGGGCAATTTCCGAAGCACTTTAGAAAGGCGTCTACCTACTGATACCTTTTAAATCTAAAACAGCAATTAACCAAAAAGGGCGGAATACTAAGACAATATACACGCTATAGCGGATACTTTCCTGTTATCCGGTATAGTATGAACACCTGTACTGCGGATATGTAACTCTCTACTACAAGTAAAAACGTAACACACGGTGGTTTGTTTTACTCGCCAGGACTTCCCTTTTGTCGGTAACAACTAATTTAAGATAGACTGTCCACCCATCATATACTAAGTGCAATGGCCTATACGGGGAGGCTCGCCCTGAAATGGGTACCGTTTTTCAGGCTTCTGGTCTATGAAAGGGAAGGGATTTTACTGGTTGAAGTATATGAAAGTGTAGGGTTATTATTTCGGTACGTAAAAAGGCCCAAAAGGGCTCACAGATTTATTCTAAGGCTGTGAAAAAGTCGAGAAAACGTTCTGGTTTTGTGATTTATTCATATTTTAAATGCAGTGCGTTTACACTGGTTGAAAGGGATGCAAAATTCTAAATTAGTTGTAAGAAAGGGGTATCATTTGTCAAAAAAAGGCGTAGGAAAGAGGTGATTTTTCTGTCAAAATGGTATTTAAAAGCCGGATAAGGGGTTGGACGGACCTCCGGGAGGAGCCTCCCCGCATAAAACTTTCTTGATCAACCCCCCCTCCGCTCACGGGTAATTACCGCAGCAGGAGTAGCTCAGGCGGAACAGCGCATGAGTCTGCAGAGCGGATGGTGCAGGGTCGATCTCTGGGGCCGCACCAATATTCAGCGTCTTAGAACAATTGAGAAATGATGGTATACTGCCTTTTCTCTGCAAACAAGCCAGACCTTTACTCGGATGAGTACTTAGAAATGGCGGTCCTATCTCCAGTAGGATCCGTAAAAAATTGTCCTCAATTAGCAGTTTTTTGCTAAATACACTGACAATTTAGAAATAAAATGCTTTGCCTGAGATATTGACGAAATTAACAGGACAGAAGCGCAGTCAATATAGACTTCTGAATATCAGAGTTGTGAATAAAACTTAAAATATAAAGCATAATTAGAGTTTGTATGGCGTTGTTAAAGTCATAAGTTCGCATCACACATTTGCAATTAAAATAGACCCGCCCTAATAACTGGCTAGAAAAAATTGGGTCACGACTGCCAGCTAAAATATCCATTACTTAACATGCAAACTCCAACTCTGACCGACAAATTAAGATCGTTGTTAGGAGAGTTACGGTTTCCAACAGTTTAATGAAGAAACCTCAAAGGATATGAAAAGTGAACTACATAAGTAAAAATTTTCAAATCAATTTCGGTTCGCAAGTCAGTATGTTTCTATTTGGGTATTGCTACTAAGACACTATTTGAAAAAACAAACTCCCTTTTAAGGGTATTCTACATCTTAGGTGATTTACATTTTCAACTTCCTTCTTTTCGATGCTGCAATATTCAGCATGACACAAGAAAGAAGAGTTCTGTACCACTAAAGTAAACTTCGCAGCAGTTCTTGTTCATTTTGACGAAGCTGTTTTGTATGTTAAAAACGGCCAGAAGCCCACTTTCGCTTTACGAAACCACGCACTTTTCTTTTTCCTCTGAAACACCTGGTTTCAAACGGAAATCGCCATGATCATTTATCATATTCTCATCACATTCACCTCCTAAACATCAACAGCCCTTGTGTAAACAAAAAAATTTTCAAGAGATAACTTGGCCATCTGAGGACGCTCATTTAACTATAGACATGTTCACTTACGAAATATAGCGTTATTTCTAAACGAGTACATGTCAGCTACGTTGCCAATGTTCTTAAAATGTTTACTTCTTTTTTCTTTCGCAACAGAGAAATTAATTTGGCGGTTAAGGTGCAACGGGTTTTATATGTTGAATATTAATTTATTCATTTTTTTCACCCGCTGGGAATTGTTTACTACACTTTTCATCGTTCGTCCAAACGTACCCAATAATTTTTATTTGCCTTACAATGTCACATCTAAATCTTATTCTTTGGTTTTAAAATTCAGGCGCACAGTGCGTCGACGCGTCGTCTCTTTTCATTTTCATCCGATTTCACTTCCAATAACGATAAGCTTAATAAAGCTAACTAAAATTGCAAGACGATCGTTTTGAAAGCTTTCATTTGAATCAATTAACCACGCGTCAGGTTTTCGCTAACAAATAAAAAGTGAAAGGCATGTACTTCCCATTCAGGGGTTTAATAACCAACACCTCATGAGAAGAACAATTCAAACTGCGTTTCACAGTTTTAACATACAGTGTTTGTTTCTTTAAAGCAAATTAGCAAACAGCTTATTACAATTGCTTAGTTCTTCTCGAATCCCTTACATAAATATATGCCTAAAGCTCTGTGCAAACGTTATTTTCTACCAGGGCACATATTTTTCGTACCACAACATGAAACTGAAGAGTCCTAGGGCGCTAAATGAGATATTTGTGCCAATTGACTCGACTTTATATATACCTTGTACAACACTTAAGTGTCTTAAGCCGCGAGTTTTACATCTAGTCAACAGAAGGTCATTTTTTTCTTCTGAAAAAACGCCTACATTAGCCCTGCTATTTTAGGGAAGTTTTCCTTTTTAATGTTGAAATACAATTGAAATTGTTGTTTAAAGAGTGTTATAGGTGTAGTGTCTACCACTGACGACTGTTTGACCGGTCAAAACTGAATATCATGCAGCTGTAAAAGGAGTAAACAGGACAAATGTATCCATCAATAATGTCCGCCCTGTACTCATTGCATCATCAAAGCTGCATCAGACGAAGATAAAAAAATTCTAATGAACAGCATTCTATTGACATCGGAGCTGCCAGACCAACGTCATGAAAGCATTACTGATCTATTTTATTTTCAACCGTATTTCTCTACATCAAACAAAAATTAAAAATTGCTATTAACAGAATTATATTGACATCAGAGCGACCATAGCAACGTAATGACATCATCATCCATTCTAATTGTAGCCGTATTTCTCTACATCAGACAAAGATTAAAAATTGCCATTAAAAGAATTATAGTGACATAGGAGCTGCCTTAGCAACGAAATGACATCATTATCTATTTTATTTGCAACCGTATTTCTCTATATCACACAAAGATTAAAAATTGCCATTAATGATATCACTATCTATATTTTACTTGAAACCGTATTTCTCGGACAAGGGAGATATATTTTACAAAATCGCTCACGGGAGTTTTTTCCTGCTATAGCTTACTCAATACTCGTACAGCTTAAGCCCTACAGCACAGGTTTACAGTATGCTCTTCTTAAGTAGCAATTCCGATTATCTTCTTGCACTAACGAATGTCTCCCTTAACCGACCAACGTACAACGATATGAAACTGAACTTTATTTTTAACCGCATGAGTACAAACTTTTAACGCATAAGCTTCAGTTTTCAACTCAGAAAGTATCCATACATTATCTATTATTGTCATTCATTATAGTTATGGTTTCTCATCACTGCATTAAAATACCCGCTAAATGTTAATTGTCCTTGTGAAAACAGGAAGTTTCTCTAAGGTAGAACTTGCGCATCTGAATGCGCTTCACGTTTATCATTTTAATAGCAGACCTGTTAACTGATCAAATATAAGCTAAAATAGCCCTGTTTCTGCGATACCAATGTTTTAAAAAACTTTTTTCTCTTCTGCAACAGAGAAATGAATCCAACAATTAAGGTGCAAGGGGATTATAGTTACGCTCTTATATTACATGCATAAACTGTGAATATTAATGACCGTTTAAGACAGTGGGTATTATTTTCCCGGCGAGTATAAAGCGACTGAAACTCTTTTTAAAGAGGTTTTCTGGCCTTTTTAGCAGTCTTAACATCGAAAGACTTCTTTTCTTACTCTATTAAGCCAAAAAAAAATAATAATCAAAGAGAAAACTTCAAATTTTGACCCAATGTAATGGGTAAACCCCTTTGGAAAAATCTAATATGGCCACCCCCACAACTGGACTCTATAAACGGTCTCTTCGGCCTTTATAGCCCTCTTTTAAAAACATCGTCAGACATCTGTTATTACTCTATTTAGACAAAAAAACGATCAAAGTACAGCGATAACCTTTACGATGACTGAACAAAGTGTGTCCTGTCAGTACAGGTAATGTGTGTGGGTATCAACGTAGCGGCACTGTTCGTGATAGGCCAGTTGTCTTCCGACTGGGGATGTTGTTCTGTTGCATCTTTTCTCTATCACTGTAGGTTAACTCAACAGCAAAGACACTTACGAATGATGTTTTTCACTTCTTGTCTGACATCTTTGATTCTCCAACAGTAAAGGACTGGATTCAGAGATGAATTTAAAAAGAGGAGACAACTGAAAACTTCATCCGCGATTATTACTTCAGTGGAATAACCTACATTTCCAAAATGATTAAGAAATGCCATCACGATGTAAGGACCATAACAAGCAAGCATAGCAAACTGTATCCAACCTACGCTATACACTGTCTTCTTGTATCGTGCTATGTTCAGTACACTTCTTACTCTGCTCGACTGTTCTGGTTGAACATGATCTTGCACTTGGGCTTGTTGATGACGGAGGGTGAAAAAAATCTTCGTGTACGAAAATGTTGAGACTATTATAGAAAAAATGCCAAAAGCTCGGAGGGTCCACGACGAGGCAAGTTTTAACTTATCATGAGATAGGATCCGAGCCACGCACAACAAAGAAGCGTTTGAAACAACAATGAACCAAACACAAGCTATGACCACACGAACTCGGCATAAAGTTACAACGTGTCTGTATCTCAGTTCCAACAACAAAGCGAGAAGTCTGTCAACACTGATTGCAGCCGATGTAAAGATGGATACCACAACCAACACGCTAATGATAAAGAGATATACGTAAACCAGTTCTACGATGCGGTTACCAATATCAAGATAGTTTGTAATGTACCTATCGTAAACGTAAAGTGGTTGACCAAGAAGACCAACACAAAGATCAGTTATCGCCAGACATCGAAATAGCAGCTTCGTCGGTGGATGAATGGAGGAAACGTTTCGTAGAGCAGCTAGAATGAGAGTATTGCCCAGAGTTGAAAAAATGGAAAGAAAAATGTTCAGGGCTGTAAGAAATATCCATACTCCGGATGGTATCTTCGCTATTACAGAAGTTCCGTTAGTGTTGTTTGCCATCGGTTTTGAAAACCCCGATCAAGCTTTACGCAAAAGAAACGCCGATATCAGTCAGCTGGAAAGAAAAATGTTTAAGGATATGCCGAGAAACATGTGAACTCCTGGCGGCATCTTCGTAACTACAAATGTCTCATTCGCATTGTTTGCAGTTGGTGTTGTAAGCCCCCGATTTAGCTTTATGAAAAAGAAACGTCGATTTGAGTTAACGTTCAGTTTCTTCAGCTGTAAGGCTACAGAAGGCGGATGAACTTCCTCGGACAAAACAGATTGTGAACGAAATAGTTAATTCACTTGTGATAGATCTTGACAGAAACTGGCAAGTTAAATTAAAAAGTAGACTTAGACTCCAAATTCACGTCCTGTTGCATGAAACGTATCAGTTACTTTCACAACACTTTTTAGACAGGTTCAATTGTTGAAGACTATAAGAAATATCCATACTCCGGATGGTATCTTCGTTGTTACAAATGTCCCATTCGTGTTGATTGCCATTGGTGTTGAAAGCCACTGATTAAGCTTTATGGAAAAGAAATGTCGATTTGAGTTAACGTTAGGTTTCTTCAGCTGCAAAGCTGAACAAGATGAACTTCCTCGGACAAACAGCTTTTCAACGAAATAGGAAATTTATTCAGTTTGTTATAGACCTACACAGAAACTGGCAAATAAATTTAAAAATACTTAACTCCAAATTAACCTGTCGTTGCATCAAACGTGTCAATTAAGCCGATTCCTAATATTTTTAACACAGGTTGACTTTGCTGCTCGCTAAAGAACTATCCAAAAAAATTAATACAAAATAAGATGTTATATCTACTTTGACGGCATGGATATCGTAAAATAGGGGCACACACCAATTGGAGGTTAACAAACCACAGTGAAGGAGATATGCTGTCACTTCAACTAGAACAAATTATTGAGTAGTAGTTCAGGTTGACATGTTGACTTTGTTGCTCGCTAAAGAACTAATTGGGACACAAACGTCGGGAAACGCTTCTCAGTTAACCACTTCGTTACAGGTGATATGAAGGCTAACAGAAAGTGGTCTAAACGTATACAGCCATATCGCCTACAGCCAAAACTATTAAGTAGATGTTAAAATTTGCTTCGCAAGGGACTTCTTGTATAAGTATTTTGACAATTGCATTATTACAACTTCCTACATAAACATCTGCATTTCCTGGGTATTAACAGTCACCAATTAATTTCTTCCCGTTTGTTTTTCTTTTGTGCATATATTTTTTACTTTCATTATTAGCATAATAGGAAATGTTGTATTGGGTTCCTGTGACAACTGCAGTAAAAAATCTCATTCGTTGTCTCATAAAGGAGCTGTTCGATATAAAACGACTCATTATATCGGTGTTCAACGGTACAATAAGAGTCCACCAAGAAAATGGACTCTCAAGGTGGCTCGACTGAATTTTCAGGGCAATTTCTGAAGCACTTTAGAAAGGTGTCTTCCTACATGTGTATCATTTACCTTTAAATCTAAAACAGCAATAAACCAAAAAGGGCGGAATACTAAGGCTATTACACGCTATAGTGGATTGTTTTTCGTGTTATCTGGTATAGTATCAACACCTGTACTGCGGATATGTAACTCTCCACTATAAGTCAAAACGTAACATCCGGTGGTTTGTTTTACTCGCCAGGACTTCACTTTCGTCGGTAATAACTAATTTAAGATAGACTGTGCACCCATCACTAAGCGGTATCTTCCTATTAGCTGTGAAAAAGTCGGGAAAACGTTCTGGTTTTGTGATTTATTCATATTTCAAATGCAGTGCCTTTACACTGGTTGAAAGGGAGGCAAAATTCTTAATTAGTTATAAGAAAGGGGTATCGTATCATTTGTCAAAAGAAGGCATAGGAAAGGGGTACCTTTTCTCTCAAAATGGTATGTAAAAGAATAAGGGGTTGGACGGACCTCCGGGCGGAGTCTCCCCGCATAAAACTTTATTGATCAAGCCCCGGGGGGGTAATTACCGCAGCAGGAGTAGCTCAGGCGGCACAGCGTTTGTCTGCAGAGCGGATGGTCGCGGGGGGGATCTCTGGGGCCGCACCACTATTCAGGGTCTTACGATAATTGAGAAATGAGGGTATACTGAGTTTGCTCTGCAAACAAGCCAGACCTTTGCTTGGAGTAGGAGACATAAAAAGAGACGTCCTCAATTAGCAGTTTCTTGCTAAATACACTGAAAATTTAGAAATAAAATGCTCTACCTGAGATATTGACGAAATTAACAGGACAGAAGCGCAGTCAATATAGACTATTGAATATGAGTGTTGTGAATAAAACTTTAATATAGACCATAATTAGAGTCTGTATGGTGTTGTTTAAGTCATAAGTTAGCATCGCACATTTGCAATTAAAATAGACCCGCCTTAATAATTGGCTAGAAAAAGTTTGGTCACGACTGCCAGCTAAAATATCCATTACTTAACATGCAAACTCCAACTCTGACCGACAAATTAAGATCTGTTATTAGGAGAGTTACGGTTTCCAACAGTTTAATGAAGAAACCTCAAAGGATATGAAAGTGAACTACATAAGTACAAATTTTCAAATCAATTTCGGTTCGCAAATCAGTATGTTTCTATTTGGGTATTGCTACTAAGACACTATTTGAAAAAAAAAATCCTTTTAAGGGTATTCTACATCTTAGTTGATTTACACTTTCAACTTCCTTCTTTTCGATGCTGCAATATTCAGCACGACACAAGAAAGAAGAGTTCTGTACCACTAAAGTAAACTTCGTAGCATGCAGTTCGTGTTCATTTTGAATAAGCTGTTTTATATGTTAAAAACGGCCACAAGCCCAGTTTCGCTTTACGAAGCCACGCACTTTTCTTTTTCCTCGCAAACACCTGGTTTCAAACGCAAATCGTCATTATCATTTATCGTATTCTCATCACATTTACCTGCTAAACATCAATAACCCTTGTGTAAACAAAACATTTTTCAAGAGATAACTTGGGCATCTGAGGACGTTCATTTAAATATAGACATGTTCACTTACGAAATACAGCGTTATTTCTAAACGAGTACATGTCAGCTACGATGCCAATGTTCTTAAAATGTTTACTTCTTCTTTTTTCTTTCGCAACAGAAAAATTAATTTGGCGGTTAAGGTTCAACGGGTTTATATGTTGAATATTAATTTATTCATTTTTTTCACCTTCTGGGAATTGTTTACTATACTTTTCATCGCTCGTCCAAACGTACTCTCATAATTTTTATTTGCCTTACAATGTCACATCTAAATCTTATTCTTTGGTTTTAAAATTCAGGCGCTCAGTGCGTCAACGCGTCGTCTCTTTGCATTTTCATCCGATTTCACCTCCAATAACGATAAGCTTAATAAAACTAACTAAAATTGCAAGACGATCGTTTTGAAAGCTTTCATTTGAATCAATTAACCACGCTTCAGGTTTTCGCTAACAAATAAAAAGTGAAAGACATGTGCTTCCCAATCAGGGGTTTAATAACCAACACCTCATAAGAAGGACAATTCAAACTGCGTTTCACAGTTTTAACATACAGTGTTTGTTTCTTTAAAGCAAATTAGCAAACAGCTTATAACAATTGCTTAGTTCCTCTTGAATCCATTGCGTAAATGTATGCCCAAAGCTCTGCGCTGGCGTTATTTTCTACCAGGGCACATATTGTTCGTACCACAACATGAAACTGTAGAGTCCTAAGGCGCTAAATGAGATATTTGTGCCAATTGACTCGACTTTATATATACCTTGTACAACACTTAAAGTGTCTAAGCCGAGAGTTTTACATTTAGTCAACAGAGGGTCATTATTTTTTTCACAGGGGCACCCAACAACAGTTTCCTCTTAAAGACATTGAAAACACTTTTTAGGCTATCCACAGCATTTTTAGATCTCTAGAAAAGAATTCTTAGTGTCGCTATAAAATTTGCATCTGTTCGGTCATCCTAGGGCAACTTCAGTCTTTTCGAAATTTCAAGGGCTTCAGTATTATTTCACCGATAATTTTAGATGCAGTTGAACTTGTTACGATTGCAAGAATTTTTCGGATTCCTCTCTTCGTTACATTTTTGAGTCCGAAAATTTTAGGTTTCCTTCTTCCCACGCAAAATAACCTAACCTGGGTAGTGAATTGTGAAAAATTAAACTTCAAAAACTTTATCAGATGAGCTTCGAAAATTGTAAATGAATGGAACGGTCATCTAGACGTTTTTAGTCGTCCTTAAGTAATAGAAAATTCAAGGCAATATTTGCTTCTCCGATCAGATATTTTAAAGAAAACAGTCGTTGGGTGCCCCGTGTTTTCACTTTTCAAAACCAATTTTATTTTTCCTTGCAAACACCTGGTTTTAAATGCAAATCGTTATTAACAGTTTAATGGTTTGCTGATCAATGCTTTTTATAATTACCTGCTAGATGTTAATTGTCCTTGTGTAAACGGGAAGTTTTTCTGAGGGAGAACTTGGGCATCTAAATGAGCTTGACTTTTTACATTTTACTTACAGATCTGTTAACTTATCGAATATAGCTTTATTCCTAAACGCTGAGTACTTAGCTACTGTACCAATGTTTCCAAAATGTCTACTTTTTTCGCTGTTGCAACAGGAAAATCATTCTAACATAATTCATTCTACGGTGCAAGGGGATTATAGGTCCACTGTTATACTACAGACATAAACTGTGAATATTAATGACTGTTAAAGACAGCGGGCACTAATGATTTTCCCGGCGAGTACAAACGGACCCTTTATAAATTAAAGTTTTTTCCGCCGTTTTTAGCAGTTTTAATCATCGGCAAACAACTTTTCTTACTCTACTTAGACAAAATAAAAAAAAAAAAACAATCAAAAAGACACTTTCAAATTTCGACTCAAAATCATGGATGGTCACACCCAAAATCGACCGAACTCATTATAAGCGTTTTTTTCGCCCTTTTTAGCCGTCTTAAACATCGTCAAACATCTTTCATTACTCTGTTTAGACAAAAAACGATCAAAGCACAGGGATAACTAATCCGATGATCACTGCGTCTCCTATCAGTATAGGTCGTGTGTGCGGGTATCAACATTAGCGGCACTGTTCGTGATAGGCCAGTTGTCTCCATTGTTCTGTTGCATCTTTTCTCTATCACTGTAGATTAACTCAACAGCAAAGACACTTACGAATGGTGTTTTTCACTTCCTGTCTGACATCTTTGATTCTCCAACAGTAAAGGACTGGATTCAGAGATGAATTTAAAAAGACGAGACAACGGAAAAATTCTTTCGCGATTCTTATTTCAGTAGAATAATCTATATTTCCAAAATGCCAAAGAAATTCCATCACGGTGAAAGGACCATAACAAGCAAGCATAGCAAACTGTATCCAAGCTACGCTATACACTGTCTTCTTGTATCGTGCTATGTTCAGTACACTTCTTACTCTGCTCGACTGTTCTGGTTGAACATGATCTTGCACTTGGGCTTGTTGATGACGGAGGGTGAAAAAAATCTTCGTGTACGAAAATGTTGAGACTATTATAGAAAAAATGACTAAAGCTCGGAAGGTCCACCACGAGGTGTGAAATAGGATCGAAGCCACGCTGTACAAAGAAGCATTTGAAACAGCAATGAACCAAACACAAGCTATGACCACACGAACTCGGCATAAAGTTACAACGTGTCTGTATCTCAGGCCCAATAAGAGAGCGAGAAGTCTGTCAACACTGATAGCAGCCGATGTTAAGGGTGATACCGCAATCAACACGCTAATGATGAACGCAAATACGTAAGCTACTTCTACGATGCGGTTACCAATACCAAGAGAGACTGTAATGTACCTAAAGTAAACGTAAAGTGGTTGACAAAGAAGACCAACACAAAGACCAGTTATCGCCAGACATCGAAATAGGAGCTTCGTCGGTGGATGAATGGAGGATACTTTTCGCAGAGCAACCAGGATTAGAACATTGCCCAGAGTTGCAAAAACGGAAAGAAAAATTCTCAGGGCTGTAAGAAAATATATCCACACTCCGGATGGTATCTTCGCTATTACAGATGTTCCGTTAGTGTTGTTTGCCATCGGTTTTGAAAACCCCGATCAAGCTTTATGCAAAAGAAACGCCGATTTCAGTTAGATGGGAAGAGAAATGTTTAAGGATATGCCGAGAAATATGTGAACTCCTGGCGGCATCTTCGCAACTACAAATGTCCCATTCGTGTTGTTTGCAATTGATGTTGAAAGCCCCCGATTTAGCTTTATGAAAAACAAACGTCGATTTGAGTTAACGTTCAGTTTCTTCAGCTGTAAGGCTACACAAGACGGATGAACTTCCTCGGACAAAACAGCTTGTGAACGAAATAGTTAATTCACTTGTGATAGATCTTGACAGAAACTGGCAAGTTAAATTAAAAAGTAGACTTAGACTCCAAATTCACGAGCTGTTGCATGAAACGTATCAGTTACTCTCATAACATTTTTTAGACAGGTTCAATTGTTGAAGGCTATAAGAAATGTTCATACTCCGGATAGTATCTTCGTTGTTACAAATGTCCCATTCGTGTTGATTGCCATTGGTGATGAAAGCCACTGATTAAGCTTTATGGAAAAGAAACGTCGATTTGAGTTAACGTTAGGTTTCTTCAGCTGTAAAGCTACACAAGATGAACTTCCTCGGACAAAACAGCTTTTCAACGAAATAGCAAATTTATTCAGTTTGTTATAGACCTAGACAGAAATTGCCAAGTTAAATTTAAAAATACTTAACTCCAAATTAACCTGTCGTTGCATCAAACGTGTCAATTAAGCCGATTCCTAAATTTTTAAGACAGGCTGACTTTGCTGCTCGCTAAAGAACTATCCAAAAATATTAATACAAAATAAGATGTTCTATGTACTTTGACGACAAGAATATCGTAAAATAGGGATACACGAAAATTGGAGGTTAACAAACCACAGTGAAAGAGATATGCTGTCATTTCAACTAGAACAAATTATTGAGTAGTAGTTCAGGTTGACATGTTGACTTTGTTGCTCGCTAAAGAACTAATTGAGACACAAACGCCAGGAAACGCTTCTCAGTTAACCACTTCGTTACAGGTGATATGAAGGATAACAGAAAGTGGTCTAAACGTATATAGCCAAATCGGCTACAGCCAAAACTATTAAGTAGATGTTAAAATTTGCTTCGCAAGGGACTTCTTGTATAAGTATTTTGACAATTGCATTATTACAACTTCCTGCATAAACATCTGCATTTCCTGGGTAATAGCAGTTACCAATATACACGCTATAGTGGATTGTTTTTCGTGTTATCCGGTATAGTATCAACACCTGTACTGCGGATATGTAACTCTCCACTATAAGTCAAAACGTAACATCCGGTGGTTTGTTTTACTCGCCAGGGCTTCACTTTTGTCGGTAACAACTAATTTAAGATAGACTGTGCACCCATCACTATTAAAGCGGTATCTTCCTATTACCTCACTATTTACCCCCTCGGGGGTGGGGGGCGGAGGTACTCAGTACAATGGCCTATACGGGGAGGCTCCGCCTGAAAGGGGAACCTTTTTCAGGCTTCAGGTACATGATAAAAAAGGGATTTTACTGGTTGAAGTATATGAAAGTGTAGGACCATCGGTTATTTCGGTCGGTAAAAAGGCCCAAAAGGGCTCACAGATTTATTCTAAGGCTGTGAAAAAGTCGAGAAAACGTTCTGGTTTTGTGATTTACTCAATATTTTAAATTCAGTGCCTTTACACTGGTTAAAAGGGATGGAAAATTCTAAATTAGTTATAAGAAAGGGGTATCATTTGTCAAAAGAAGGCGTAGGAAAGGGGTACTTTTTCTGTCAAAATGGTATGTAAAAGCCGGATAAGGGATTGGACCGACCTCCAGGCGAAGCCTCCCCGTATAAAACTTTGTTAAATACCCCACCCCCCTTCCGCCCCCTCCGGTAATTACCGCAACAGGAGTAGCTCAGGCTGTACAGCGCTTGTCTGCAGAGCGGATGGTCGTGGGGACGATCTCTGTGGCCGCAGCACTGTTCAGGGTCTTTGAATACTTCAGAAATGATGGTACACTGAGTTTCCTCGGCAAACAAGCCAGACCTTTACTCGGATGAGTACTTATAAATGCCGGTCCTATCTCCAGTAGGAGACGTAAAAAAATTGTTCTCAATAAGCAGTTTCTTGCTAAATACATTGACAATTTGGAAATAAAATGCTTCGCCTGAAATATTGACGAAATTAACAGGACAGAAGCGCAGTCATTATAGACTTCTGAATATGAGTGTTACGAATAAAACTTTAATATAAAGCATAATTAGAGTTTGTATGGTGTTGTTAAAGTCATAAGTTAGCATCGCACATTTGCAATTAAAATAGACCCGCCCTAATAATTGGCTAGAAAAAGTTTGGTCACGACTGCCAGCTAAAATATCCATTACTTAACAGGCAAACTCCAACTCCGACCAAACAAATTAAGATCTGTTATTATGAGAGTTACGGTTTCCAACAGTTTAGTGAAGAAACCTAAAAGGATATGAAAGCGAACTATTTCGGTTTGCAAGTCAGTACGTTCTATTTGGGTATTGCTACTAAGACACTATTTGAAAAAACAAACTCCCTTTTAAGGGTATTCTACATCTTAGGTGATTTACATTTTCAACTTCCTTCTTTTCGATGCTGCAATATTCAGCATGACACAAGAAAGAAGAGTTCTGTACCACTAAAGTAAACTTCGCAGCAGTTCTTATTCATCTTGACGAAGCTGTTTTGTATGTTAAAAACGGCCAGAAGCCCATTTTCGCTTTACGAAGCCACGCACTTTTCTTTTTCCTCGGAAACACCTGGTTTTAAACGCAAATCGTCATTATCATTTATCATATTCTCATCACATTTACCTGCTAAAAGTCAATAGCCCTTGTGTAAACAAAACATGTTTCGAGAGACAACTTGGCCATCGGAAGACGTTCATTTAACTATAGACATGTTCACTTACGAAATATAGCGTTATTTCTAAACGAGTACATGTCAGCTACGTTGCCAATGTTCTTAAAATGTTTACTTCTTTTTTTTTTTGTTTCGCAACAGAGAAATTAATTTGGTAGTCAAGGTGCAACGGGTTTATATGTTGAATATTTATTTATTCATTTTTTTCACCTTCTGGGAATTGTTTACTACACTTTTCATCGTTCGTCCAACCGTACTACTATAATTTTTAGTTGCCTTACAATGTCACATCTAAATCTTATTCTTTGGTTTTAAAATTCAGGCGCTCAGTGCGTCGACGCGTCGTCTCTTTTCATTTTCATCCGATTTCACTTCCAATAACGATAAGCTTAATAAAGCTAACTAAAATTGCAAGACGATCGTTTTGAAAGCTTTCATTTGAATCAATTAACCACGCTTCAGGTTTTCGCTAACAAATAAAAAGTGAAAGGCATGTACTTCCCATTCAGGGGTTTAATAACCAACACCTCATAAGAAGAACAATTCAAACTGCGTTTCACAGTTTTAACATACAGTGTTTGTTTCTTTAAAGCAAATTAGCAAAAAGCTTATTACAATTGCTTAGTTCTTCTCGAATCCCTTTCATAAATATATGCCTAAAGCTCTGTGCAAACGTTATTTTCTACCAGGGCACATATTTTTCGTACAACAACATTAAACTGAAGAGTCCTAAGGCGCTAAATGAGATATTTGTGACAATTGACTCGACTTTATATATACTTCGTACAACACTTTAAAAGTGTCTTAAGCCGAGAGTTTTACATCTAGTCAACAGAACGTCATTTTTTTTCTTCTGAGAAAACGCCTACATTAGCCGTACTATTTTGGGGAAGTTTTCCTTTTTACTGTTGAAATACAATAGAAATTGTTGTTTAAAGAGAACACAGAAGTGTTATAGGTGTAGTGTCTACCACTGACGACTGTTTGACCGGTCCAAACTGAATATCAGTTGTAAAATGAGTAAACAGGACCAATGTATCTATCAATAATGTCCGCCCTGCATAAGCTGCATCAGACAAAGATAAAAAAATTCTAATGAACAGCATTCTATTGACATCAGAGCTGCCAGACCAACGTCATCAAAGCATTACTGATCTATTTTATTTGCAACCGTATTTCTCTACATCAAACAAAAATTAAAAATTACTATTAACAGAATTATATTGACATCCGAGCGACCATAGCAACGTAATGACATCATCATCCATTTTAATTGTAGCCGTATTTCTCTACATCAAACAAAAATTAAAAATTGCTATTAACAGAATTATATTGACATCAGAGCGACCATAGCAACGTAATGACATCATCATCCATTTTAATTGTAGCCGTATTTCTCTACATCAAACAAAAATTAAAAATTGCTATTAACAGAATTATATTGACATCAGAGCGACCATAGCAACGTAATGACATCATCATCCATTTTAATTGTAGCCGTATTTCTCTACATCAAACAAAAATTAAAAATTGCTATTAACAGAATTATATTGACATCAGAGCGACCATAGCAACGTAATGACATCATTATCCATTTTAATTGTAGCCGTATTTCTCTACATCAAACAAAAATTAAAAATTGCTATTAACAGAATTATATTGACATCAGAGCGACCATAGCAACGTAATGACATCATTATCCATTTTAATTGTAGCCGTATTTCTCTACATCAAACAAAAATTAAAAATTGCTATTAACAGAATTATATTGACATCAGAGCGACCATAGCAACGTAATGACATCATTATCCATTTTAATTGTAGCCGTATTTCTCTACATCAAACAAAAATTAAAAATTGCTATTAACAGAATTATATTGACATCAGAGCGACCATGGCAACGTAATGACATCATCATCCATTTTAATTGTAGCCGTATTTCTCTACATCAAACAAAAATTAAAAATTGCTATTAACAGAATTATATTGACATCAGAGCGACCATAGCAACGTAATGACATCATCATCCATTTTAATTGTAGCCGTATTTCTCTACATCAGACAAAGATTAAAAATTGCCATTAAAAGAATTATATTGACATAGGAGCTGCCTTAGCAACGAAATGACATCATTATCTATTTTAATTGCAACCGTATTTCTCTATATCACACAAAGATTAAAAATTGCCATTAATGATATCACTATCTATATTTTACTTGAAACCGTATTTCTCGGACAAGGGAGGTATATTTTACAAAATTGCTCACGAAAGTTTTTCCTGCTATAGCTTATACAATACTCGTACAGTTTAAGCCCTACAGTACAGGTTTACAGTATGCTCTTTTTGAGTAGCAATTCCGATTATCTTCTTGCACTAACAAACGTCTCCCTTAACCGACCAACGTACAACGATATGAAACTGAACTTTATTTTTAACCGCCTGAGTACAAACTTTTAACGCATAAGCTTCAGTTTTCAACTCAGAAAGTATCCATACATTATCTATTATTGTCATCCATTATAGTTATGGTTTCTCATCACTGCATTAAAATTACCCGCTAAATGTTAATTGTCCTTGTGTAAACAGGAAGTTTCTCTGAGGGAGACCTTCCGCATCTTCATGCGCTTCACGTTTATCATTTTAATTACAGATCTGTTAATTGATCAAATATAAGCTAATATAGCCCTGTTCCTGCGATACCAATGTTTTAACAAACTTTTTTTCTCTTCTGCAACAGAGAAATTAATCTAACAATTAAGGTGCAGGGGCATTATAGTTACGCTGTTATATTACATGCATAAACCGTGAATATTAATGACTGTTAAAGACAGTGGGTATTATTTTCCCGGCGAGTTTAAAGCGACTGAAACTCTTTAGAAAGAGTTTTTTCTGGCCTTTTTAGCAGTCTTAACATCCAAAGACTTGTTTTCTTACTCTATTAAGCCAAAAAACAAAAAAACAATCACAAAGAAAACTTCAAATTTTGACCCAATATAATCGGTTAACCCCTTTGGAAAAATCTAATATGGCCACCACAACAAATGTATTCTATAAACGGTCTGTTCGGCCTACAGCCCTCTTTTAAAACATCGTCAAACATCTTTTATTACTCTATTTAGACAAAAAACGATCACAGTACAGCGATAACCTATAAGATGAACAAGGTGTGTCCTGTCAGTATAGGTGCTGTGTGTGGGTATCAACGTAGCCGCACTGTTCGTGATAAGCCAGTTGTCTTCCCACTGGGGATGTTGTTCTGTTGCATCTTTTCTCTATCACTTTAGGTTAACTCAACAGCAAAGACACTTACGAATGGCGTTTTTTACTTTCTGTCTGACATCTTTGATTCTCCAACAGTAAAGGACTGGATTCAGAGATGAATTTAAAAAGAAGAGACATAAGGAAACTGCAAACGCGATCCATACTTCAGTGGAATAACCTACACTTCCAAAATTCCAAAGAAATACCATCACGATGAAAGGACCATAACAAGCAAGCATAACAAACTGTATCCAAGCTACGGTATACACTGTCTTCTTGTATCGTGCTATGTTCAGTACACTTCTTACTCTGCTCGACTGTTCTGGTTGAACATGATCTCGCACTTGGGTTTGTTGATGACGGAAGGTGAAAAAAATCTTTATGTACGAAAATAAGGAGACTATTATAGAAACCATTATTAAAGCTATGAACGTCCAAAGGGAGCAGGCAGATAATACCTTATATTTGAACTGGATAAAATTCACCAACCGCAAAGAAGCGTTTGAAACAGCAATGAACCAAACACAAGCCATGACCACACGAACTCGGCGTAAAGTTACAACGTGTCTGTATCTCAGTCCCAATAACAGAGCGAGAAGTCTGTCAACACTGATGGCAGCCGATGTTAGGGGCGATACCGTAAGCAACACGAAATTGAAAAATATATATACATACACAAGTTCTCGCTTGTTGTAGTTACCAATAGTCAAGTAAACGTCAAGTGGTTGACATATAAGACCAACACAAAGATCAGTAACAGCCAAACATCGAAATAACTGCTTCGTCGGTGGATGAATGGAGGATACATTTCGTAGAGCAACCAGGATCAGGGCATTGCCCAGAGTTGCAGAGATGGAAAGAAAAATTTTCAGGGCTATCAAAAATATGTCAACTCCTGGTGGCATCTTCGGAACTACAAATTTCCCATTCGTGTTGTTTGCCAATCGTGGTGTTGAAAGCCACTGATTAAGCTTTATGGAAAAGAAACTTCGATTTGAGTTAACGTTAGGTTTCTTCAGCTGCAAAGCTACACAACATGAACTTCCTCGCACAAAACAGCTTTTCAACGAAATAGCCAATTTATTCAGTTTGTTATAGACCTAGACAGAAACTGCCAAGTTAAATTTTACCATACTTAACTACAAATTAACCTGTCGTTGCATCAAACATATCAATTACGCCGATTCCTAACATTTCTAAGACAGTTTAACTTTGCTGCTCGCTAAAGAACTATGCAAAAATATTAATACAAAATAAGATGTTATATGTACTCTGACGGCATGGATATCGTAAAATAGGGGTACACGAAAATTGGAAGTTAACAAACCACAGTGAAGGAGATATGCTGTCATTTCAACTAGAACAAATTATTGAGTAGTAGTACAGGTTGACATGTTGACTTTGATGCTCGCTAAAGAACTAATTGAGACACAAACGTCAGGAAACGCTTCTCAGTTAGCCACTATCTTACACGTGATATGAAGGCTAACAGAAAGTGGTCTAAACGTATATAGCCATATCGGCTACAGCCAAAAATATTAAGTAGATGTTGAAATTTGCTTCGCAATGAACTTCTTGCATAAGTATTTTGACAATTGCATTATTACAACTTCCTGCATAAACATCTGCATTTCCTGGGTATTAACAGTTACCAATTAATTTTTCTCCGTTTGCTAATGACTTTCTTCCTTAATGCTAAATTGTTTTTCTTTTGTGCATATATTTTTTTTTTTCATTATTAGCATAATAGGAAATGTTGTATTGGGTTCCTGTGACAACTGCAGTAAAAAATCTCATTCCTTGTTGCATAAAAGAGCTGTTCGATATAAAACGGCTCATTATATCGGTGTTCAGCGGTACAATAAGAGTCCACCGAGAACTGAATGAACTCTCAAGGTGGCTCGACAGAATTTTCAGGGCAATTTCCGATGCACTTTAGAAAGGTGTCTACCTACATTTACCTTTACAATCTAAAACAGCAATAAACCACAAAGGGCGGAATACTAAAGCTATATAGACGCTATAGCGGACTGTTTTTAGTCTTTTCCGGCTGCCAACACGAAAAACTATTCGATATAGTATGAACACCTGTCGGATATGTAACTCTCCACTTTAGAGATCGGCGTAGCTTCGCTTCGTTACAGAGATCGCGCCGAAATGACCGTTCTTACGTGTGAACACGGCAGAAGCCCTGCTATCCAGTTTGGTCTTAAAGCCAGCGCAAAAGCTATCTGGCATAGTGTAAACAGATCCCAAGCCCTTGTTTTCCCGCAAAAATAGGTATGATCAAGTTAAGCATGTCTAAGTTATACGTTTTACCGGTAAAACTGCGAGTGCGTTTAACAATTTCCCACCTGGAGCAAGGAAAGCTTCATTTGTCTTCTGGGGCACTGGAGGAGCATCTCCGTCTTCACTTGATATTGATGTGCTGCTCTGAAACAAGAGAGAAAAAAAAAAACCAGAATGAACATTGTCAATTACTGACAGTCACTCTTTTTCTTTAGATTTAGTGAGGAGAGTGCACTCGCGCGCGAGTGACAAAGGCGCCAGGCGCGAGAAACGAGGGCGGTAGCATCTCTCGCCTCGCGCGCCTTCAATCATGCGCGTGGTCATTTTTGTCTCAGGGACGTACCGCTCCACGGACTAAGTAAAAATAGACCGTTCGTTGCCTAAACCAGCAGTGATTCAACTTCAGAAAGAGGCTTCTTTCACCCTCTATAAAAACTTAAGGAGGCTAACAAATGCCCAGTGCAAAAATTTGGAAAAATTTCCGCACTGAAAAACTAATGAATGACTCACAAATGCTTTGTGAAAACTTTCCAAAGAAAAAAGGGAATTTCAAAATTGGCTCCATTTTCAGCTAAACAAACATTTTCAACCACAAAAAAAACGTTTCATAACAAAGTCATTGCATGTTTTAAAACCGAAGGGGTCTGGGTATGAGTTCGTAAGATATGAGATTATTAGCAGAAGGTCTTCAAAGGCAAAAAAAGCACACTAAGTCCACTAAACTTTAAAAAATCCTCATGTTTGGTGTTTGTGAAGATACAGCTACTCAAAAACGAGAAAATTAACAAAGAAATGCCTGGTTTAACGGAAACGTTATCCGGACGATTATTCTGTTTTTGCTTCTTCAGTCACAAAACAAACAAAAGCAAACATGAAAACATTTTGGTTAAAACCGTCATCAACCCTTTCAGCTCCAATATCCACAAACCCACCTACCCGTCCCCTAAGACACCATTTTGCCCTAAATGAGAAGTAAGTGTTAACGTTGGCTTAGGGTAGGGGTAGGTGGGTAGTTTTCCAGAAACGTATAGTAATCTAAAATTCTCAAGTCTGATCTCCATCCTGTTTCGTAAAAAAATTGGAGGGGAGAATTTGACAAAAAAATCAGCGCATTTTCCATTTGGTTGTCATTTTAGTAATTCTCATAACCTTGCCATATCATGATGAATTGAAATTGTTAGGAGAATGTTGATGTTGGTCAGCCACTATTGGGACTGGATCACTCACCTGTAATCTGTGGTTACGAGGCCTTGAAGATGAGTCCGTAGACTTGGCGGACTCGTTAGGACTGTTGCTACCCTTGGTGTCTCTGTGACCGTGCGGCCTTGGAGCCACAGTAGCATAAAGATCTGAAGAAAAGAAGTGACACGTCACGTCATTGTCTGTTGTTACACGTACAGTGTCAGGGTGGCGGTCACGATCATACTGTCACGTATTCCCAAGTCATTATTCTGGCCAATCACAACAGGCACAGATACTCAAATTAACCAATCACTACCGGGGGCGGGAAAGCGGGTGCGGGTAAATCAAAATTGGTTCTGATTTATTTCTCATTGGTTGAGAAAGTGGCGCGAGATTTTTTGGCCAATCCACAGCTTAAGGCAATTACCATAATTACTTCCGGCAGACAACAGTACGGTAGTCACAGTAGCTGGGGCTTCCTGCACTGCGAGAATCACATCGAGAGAACCGAGAAGCTGATAACAAAAGTGTGTGGAAACAGGAGCTGATTTAAATAACAGGTTATTGCTGTAGACACCGGAACTCACTAGGCAACAAGTTGCAGCAACACTTCGCAGTGGCAAATCGCTTCGTGTCTACTGGAGAATTTTTGCGAAAATCTTTGTCTGCGCAACAGAATTTTGTCGCCGCAACGAGTCGCACAAAAGCAAATCAGATTGAATACGTGCGAGTTGTTGTGGCGACAAAATTCTGTCACTGAGACAAAGATTTTCACAAAAAGTCTCCAGTACACACAAAACGATTTGTCGCTGCAACTTGTCGCGCAACTTATCACACGACCTCTACACACGGAGCAATTAGTCGCCGCGAAGTGCTGCAGCGACACGTCGCCTAGTGTGTACCGACATGTCGTCTAGTGTGTAGCCACCTTAAAAGAAAGAGCTGTAGGACTGAGTATATGGGGTGTTTGGTTACCTGTTCCAAGCAACACTTCATGGACCCCCTCTCGATCAGGCGAAATGCCACCCTCAGTAGTTGGTTTCTCCCTGTCTCCTTTAGGTGGTGGGCGTGGTGAGCCATGTGGTGCTCCTTTAGTTCCATTTTTGACTTCTAACTCAGTGTTTCGACTGTACGCATGCACAGAAGGAGGTGACTCCTTTTTAACTGACTGTCCCCAATGTCCAACTAACTCATACGAGGGTTCCTTAGGAGGACCAGTACTTTTACCCTCCACAGAACTACCAATATATTTCACTTGAGGAGGACCAACAGCGACTTTGACCTCAACAGGCTCAACAGAAACCTCCATTTGACTTCCGGCTGCCGGTATCCCTACCAAGCTGTAACTCCCGACCGGATTCCTAGGTGGCTTTTGAGGTAGCAACGCGTGCTGTCCTTTTCCCGATGGCACTGTCCCTGTATTAGGGTGTGGCACTGTCGCAGGCTTCTCTATCACGTTAGAGTGGGAATGAACAGTGCCAGCTTCGACTAATAATGTGGAATCTGTTGGTGTATGCCCCACTTTGAAGCCGTCCCCAACATTAGCACCTGGGTCTTCAAATAACTCTGCAGACAAGGGGCAGCGTTTAGGGCCAGCAGCTATCTTCTGCCTGTTGGGGACGGTCTTGAAACCTCTGTTGTCATGTTGCGCCCCTGTAGGCTGAAGTAAGCTGTTGCCTCGCAAGACCATGTCATCTCGAACATTCGAAGGGCTCGAAGACCTAGAGTGGGGCTTAACTATCAAGAAAAAGACATAGATTCATTTAAAACTAAACATGAATTTCCAAATAATGTAACTGGCTGATTGTAAATTGTAATTGTAAATTGGAAATATTTTATTATCCACTCCCCTCAGGGCTTTTCAGGGATAATTTACAACACTGGTTGGGGGACTTTGCCAGGCTGCTTAGGTGCAGTTTACAAGTAATGAAGGAATGAGTAATGATGCCCCCATACATGAGTGTGAGTGTGATCCGACGTACCATTCAGGTAAAAAATACTTAGACATGTGCAGTTATTATAAAGTGTGTTCAGGAACATTATTAATTGGCGTCCTTTTACATTAGACCACAACGACCTAAGGGTAACAAGTATCTTGTAAACCTTCCCACCTTTAGCGTAATACCTTAAAATTTTTGCAGTCCGTATACTCAGTTAGTACGTACTTGCCTAGATATTTCTTTATTAAGATTTGTTAACTTGTTACCAATTAAACTATATCAGTGAAACAACTAGTATTTAATGATTTCCTGCAAACTTAATTTTAAAAAAATTTCCCTTAAGACTGTATAAAAAGCATACCTTTCGCCACAATCCAACCCTAAACAATTTTTAAATTCACCAAGATTTCATGTGCCGAGAAAAATAGTCCGAGAAAATTGGCCGACATTTCGCGACGTCACCAAGAGTTTCCTCGGGAAACCGTTGGAGGTGTCGCAAAACGTCAGTTGTTATCTCAGGCTATGAGGTACAGACAAATCTGTTTAATACGGACACCAAAGGGACAGAACCAAGTGTCCGCTTTACAGAGGTGTCCGTATTATAGAGGTAGGGAATGTATGATTTTTGGCTTTTCTGGGACCAAACGAACAGTCGTAATAGAGAGGTGTCCGTAACGAGAGGTTAGACTGTACATTATGGTACATGTGGACGTTTCTAGACTATTACGTATCACGAACAAATTATTCTATTATTTGTTTACACTACTACCCGCAAAAGGTTTGTAATTTTCACATGTAGGTATTTCAAATTAAGCTGAAATACCACTTCTCCAAGCCAGTCAAATTGTAGAGATTTCTCATGTAGTAGTATAACATATTTAACTGCACCTGACGAGCCTCCCAATTACCTTGAATATTCTCATATCCAGAGCAATCTCCTGAGGAGCGTTTATTCGGCAATGGAGGTGTGTTGTTCCCAAGATCGATAAGCAAACCTGGTTAAACAGATTATTTATTATCAGATCATTTATACAACTTGCAAACACAACTATATGCCATGAATTATTTTTAACACCCACATAGAACCAAACTGAAATGCGAGCAGCAACACGTGCTTCGCAAAAACAAAAGAAAGCAGCCTACGTCCTCAGATTGATAGTCCTTCTAGCAATTTCTAGCAATTTATTCTGTTATTGCTTTTTTCAAGCTTACAAGCAATTCAGCCCTTAGTTAATCTATGTTTAAAATTATGATACATGGCGCATCATCCATTAGACTGCTTTCACGTCAGTCTGCTTCGCTTAAGATACGATGTTTAGAAATGATGTTTAAAAATAAAAATTACTGCGTTAGAAAAGATGTTATAAATTAGATTTAAATACTACAACTACAACCCTCTCAAAAACACATACTTTGACTTTGTTCCTACGTAGATGACTCTTAATAGTTAAAAAAGAATTTCCTTTTAACAAATCGGAGCGCTGATGGACAGAGGGGGGATAAATTGAGCACACCCTCAGCCTCAGGTTTGTTAATCAGGAAAAACAGATTATTGTTGTTGTTGTTGTCAAATGACGTTTACCGATGGAAAATAAGCACTCTCTACCTTCACTCGTCTTGGTTTCCCTTATCAATGCAATACAATTGGCTTTAGACTTGATATCCCTAGAGGTAAAAACGATTATTTTGGAGCCACGCCCACAAAACGAGATTCTGGTACCGTTTAGGTGTATTTTTGCAATTTTCAGATAAGCACCCCCATAATTTTTGATAGGGCAAGTGTCCCCGGAGGAGGGGTTAAAATAAGAGCGGTAAGTTATCTACTCAGGAATGTTAATAGTTCCACATACCTTCAGGAACGTGTCTGGTTGGATTCTTAGCACCTTGAGAAGCCACAGGAGGGATCTCGTAATCACTGACAGTCCCTTTATTTCTAGTGTTAATCACAGTAGGTGGGCTTGCTGTCGATGATGGTCCAGGAAGCACTTCATAATCAGATATTGAAGGAGGTTTTTGTTGTCCAGACGTTGGAGATTGACCCTTAATTTTTCCAGCATCAGAATTTTGCATTGGTTTATGAGGGACTGCTGGTTTCCCTGACATTGCAGGCTTGTTTTCTGTAACTTCCATGGGTGATTTCCTTTTCTGCTCATTGGAGCTTAAAAACTCTACATTTACATAGTCTTTGCCTCCTTTTATATCAGGTGATGTCAGCATTTGCTCAGGAGAGGGTAGTGGAAGAGGAGGTCTTTTTGATGGATCAGGAGACGGTGGTGTTATGGCAGGTTTTTTTGACAATGATGGTTTAGGATCAAATTTAGTACCTGCTGGAGCTTCCACCGGTAGTGGCAACTTTTTCCTCGGCACTGATCCATTTTGCATGTCACTCTGTTTCCACCGATTAACACTTCTAATAAACTCACAGTTCTCATAGTTTGATTCACCAGATAAGGTCTGTGACTTTGGAGACTTGGGCAGCTCTACATTAACGTATGTGTGGAACGTGAATTTCTCTTCTTCTATTTGCTCGTGAACAAGTTGGACAACAGCTTTGTAGACTAATTCATACTGCTCCTGTTTGGGAACACGTTAATATGATTATCTTCAAGGGCAAGTGCTATCAAGATTTAGTGCAGCTAACCTTAAAATCCAATAGAAGATTTAGTATCGCGATTCAAATCTACCAATATTGGCTGGATCCTCAAAAAGTTGCTATCAATAATCCCGGGGGGCGGGGGTACTCAACAAATGTTTACACGGGGAGGCTCCGCCCCGAGGTCCAACCCCTTACCCTTTTTAACATATGCCATTTTTCACGAAAAAGGTACCCGTTTTGTATACCCTCTATTGACAAATGGTACCCCTTTCACAAAGCTTGTTTAGAACTTTGCATCCCTTTGAACTGCTGTAAATGCACTGTCTTTTAAAGAGGAATCAATCACAAAAATAGAACGTTTTCTCGAAATTCTGTGAAAATGTTTGTCTCCACAACAGAATTTTGTGACAGGACAAAATTCTGTTGCACAAACAAAGATTTTCACAACAATTCTCCAGTAACCAGGAAGCAATTTGTCGGTGCAATGTAACGCACAACTTGTCACCTGAAGTGCATACAAGGGGTGGAATGTCACCATGACATGTTGCAGCAACATGTCACCTATTGTGTTGAGGGCCGTAGGTTAGAAAACTGTAACAGGTTATTGCGCTTCCCTCTTTAAATAAAGTTATTGTATTGTATTATTGTATTGTGTTCTGACCTTTAAGAAGTGCGTCTGGCTATGGAAGGTTACATGAAGCAACACTACGTTACATTATTTTCTTAAGCTTGACAACACGTTGCTGTAAATTCATTGCCACAATGGTCTAAGGAAATGTAAAGAGCAAGTTCTATGAAGTTCAAATCCTCTCCTGCAGATTTTTCATTTATTTTTTGTTTACTTAAAAACACTGCAAAAGCTTCTGTTTTGTTTAGTACCTTGGTTTGGACCATAGCCATCCTCTGCTTTCTTAGGTTTGTTACAATATCATACACGCTAAAATTGTTTGTTTTCTGCAATACAAAATAGCAGGAATTAGAATTTTAATCCTTGAAATAGAAAACAAATTAAAGAAGAGAAAAAGCATTTTAAAAAATGGACAAAACAAGTTAACCACAAAGCGAATGTATGAAGTGATTAATTGATTAATTAGTTAATGAATTTATTTGGGTGATGGAATGCATGCATGAACAGATGAGTTGGGATGGATGGAAAGGAACAGAATAGAATGAGATGTTGGCAAGACACATAAAAGTACAATGTTAGTTTTTATTTTCTTAACTTGCACTTACTTGCATCTTAAGCTGATCCCAAGCATAATCTACAGCACAGATTGTTCCCGTTCTACCACATCCAGCACTGAAAGTCAAATTTTAAAGTATTTTGAATAGCGGACTCTTTTCATCAGTGAGACTTTAAAAGCAAGTACATAATAGAAAACAATCCATTTAGCAATGGTTGCCTCTATGCAGAAACATTGTGAAAAGAAGTTGGGGAGGATATAGTGTCCCAGGCAGAAAGAACATAATTATGTATATAGACCAATGCAATGAGTGGAACTTCTCAAAGAAATCCAACATGAAAATTACAAAACGTTCAGCTGCAATTTAGGAGGACTGTTTATGAGATTTTTTTGCATGACTGATTAAAAAGTATGAGGAACATGGCCTCTCAGTCCAAAAAAATAGAGGTACATGCAACTTTAATATTATTGCTGAGTAGCACTGACATAACTGACCTGCAGTGAATTAAAACTTGTTGTTTTCTGTTGCCTTGGAGACTTTTAAGAGTTCTACTAATTTCAATGAGCGGAGTTGCCGACTTTGGTACGTCATGATCAGGCCATGCTGTGTACTGTAATTGGGTCACTGTCATTTCATCCTAAAAAAAAAATAATAAAGAATTATAATAGTTCAATAAAATTGGATCAACTGTTATGAATGTCAATGACCCATGAACATGGGTCCTACATCAAGGTATGAATGAATGAGTCTTGCATTAATAGTACTTGAAATATGATTGCAAATTTCTATCATAACAAACCCCTTATATCAATTTTTTTTTTTTTTTTAAACTAAATACAAGTTAATTATCTCACCTAACTTATCATCCAAAACTCCAAGATAATAAGATTTGGGGGTCAGTTGTAAGAGATCGTGATCACCAAACTAATAGTATAGTACAATGTACACATTAACTGAGACGACTAATTTTGGCCACCCGGTTACAGGGTGAAAAGAAAATCAAGTTTTTCCAGCCTGCCATTCAGCAAGCTGAAGCTGGCATTTACTAGCCCAGACGTCATTTCAACTAGCCCCAAAAGCTTTTTGTTGAGCATCTGGAATTCTGTTATTCAGGTTCCTCAAAGAACATCACTAGCCCATCGGGCAAGTCAAAAACAGATTTCACTAGCCCAATAGCAAAATCCACTAACCCCGGGCTATCGGACACTACTTTCTTTGCATGCTGCGGTTAGCACAGTGGGAACAGTGCCGGTCTACCGAGCAGGAGGATGCTGCTTCAAACACTGGCCAGACCAACAGCCATGGACTTTAAAAAAACATGTACGATCATCATGCTGGCCACTTGTCCTTAACTCTTTAAGTCCCAATATCCACATAAAAATTCTCCAAACTGATCTCCATACACTTCCTCGAAGAATTAGTTGAGAGAATTTGGTAAAAGAACAAATATTTTTCTTTTTGTGATCATTTTGTTAATTCTCATAGACTTTGTTCATGATAGTCTATGGATATCGTTAGGAGAAAATTGATTTTGAGTACTATTGGCACTTAAAGGGTTAAGAGAATTAAACATAAGAAATATAACCGTGTACCTTCAAAGATTTCATCTGCATAGTTCTGATAACAAAGCCTTCAGCAATGTCTTCTTCAGAGATCTGCAAGAAGGGACAGGGTCTTATAAATGGATGGACTAGCAAAAAAATATTGCTACAGTGTATTTCATTATTTGAACAAGGTGCAACAGGCAAACTGTTAAAATAATAATGTGATATATTACTTACCAGTGAGATTTGCATACCAGCAAAGCTCATTTTCTCATCCTTACTCATAGGCCAATATCTTTTACACTTCAGTTTTCCCATCTCAATTTCTCTGCATACCATAATCACAATCTAGAAGTAAGATAAGAAAATTCAGATAAAATGCAACAGCTTAATAAATTTGTTTATTAATACCTCTTTGTCAGTTACGTGTGCTGTGATTATGGTCAATTTTGCAGGTCCTTAAGGCCTGTTTCAAACGTTGTGCTACAACTGTACTGCCGCGCCTGACTTAACAGAACAACAGTTACTTTAAAAACCACAGCAGTAGCACAATGTTTCAAACCAAGTGGAGCCACTACCATGAAACATGGCAAGTTTTACTGTGCTACACAACACTAGCATGTCTTGGTTTCATTTATCCGTCGTGCCACTGCTGTGCTGGACTCAATTCATGAATAATACATATATTAGAATACATTTTAGAAGTTCAGTAAAAAGCTTTGTTTTCCGCAACAGCTATTTTATTTGACTGATTTAAATTCGACGTTTGAAACCAAGTTGTGCTACTTAGTTGTGCTGAAGTCAAGCCAGCTTAGAACGCCAGTAGCACAATGTTTGAAACAGGCCTTATTCTACTAGAGTACAGTGCCCTAAATATTTTGAAAGTTTCCTTTTCTGTATGCCCAGTTAACTATACCTACAATGTTGCCAACCTCATTTTCTCAGTCTGTGCTGCAAGTTACAGATCGTCCTTTTATCCTGTTGATTTTTTGGCCTGTGCACTTAAACCTTGGACAGCGGCGATAACATTGCAGTCCATAACATACAGTACAAACCTCCTTGCATTGCTTATAGTTAAGAGATATTTTTTTAAATACTAATGTGGACCAAAACTACTAAGATAACAATAATATAAAAAGGTATACACATTATCCACCTGGCATCTATGAGAAGCGATCAACCTCCAAAAATCATCTACAGTTCTTGGCAGAGGTCCCTGTAAGGCTATGTATGCAGTGTTTCCATCCGCACCCTGAAAAATTGGTCATCATCAGTTAGCTATCAGCTGAGTCTTCAAACATATTGACACCTACACTTACAGGACTGTGTTACATTAAAAAACGCAAGTACATTGCCAAAAAGGACAAAAATGAGTTATTGCAGCGCGCAAAGAAAGTCGTGTGCGATAGCCCGGGGCTGATGGATTTTGCTATCAGGCTAGTGATTTTTGTTCTCAACTTGCCAGAAGGGCAAGTGCTGTTTTGGGGGGAACTTTAAATTACAGACGGATTGTAATCAATCCCGCTAATCAAAAAGGGTTTGGGGGCTGGTTGAAATGACTTGTGGGCAAGAACATACTAGCTACAGCTTGCCCGAATGACAGGCTGTAAAACTGACTTTCTTTGCACCCTGTATTGCCATGAGGATTACATTTGAAGCCACTGAGTGTTGTGTGGTGTACATCACATGACAACAAATAATTTCACAAAGCTTAACAGTCTTCAGAGCTCCAAGGGAGTTTTGGTCTTACCTTGATATAATTTCCATTCATGTAATCTGATCCTGGTACACCCGATAATGTTGGTAACATGACGCGATTGTGGTCAACTGCAGAAACATTTCATGCAAGAAGAATTGTTTTATTTAAGGGTTGATAATACAGTACATGTACATGATTGAAGATTAATAATTAATGTTGCTAAGAGAAATAGAAATGGAGAAATACTGACAACTGGCTGTGAAGTAAGAAAAAATAAAGGGAGCCAAGTGGTTTGAATCTGTGAAATCCAGGGTGCCCAGAACATGATTTCTACGAAATAAACAAGTTAGGTGCCAGGGGCCATGACCAGGCCCAGCCACTAGAGCACAGCCTAATTTGATCTCAACCATGGGCAGGAGAGTGCCAACAACAGAACTACTTGGAGGAGACTTAGGCAGCATTCACAATTGGTGCGCGGGCACAGTGCCCAAGTACGGTACTCAATGGGCACGAATGTGAACACACCCTTTTTTTAGGTAACCACACTAGAATTCGGGCACGGTACTGGTGTCTGAGTATAAGGTCAAGACCTTGCACTCGGGCACAAAAGTGAGCACTGTGTCCCTGTGTGCACACAATTTTTGTAAGTTTCGTGCAGTCCACTGCTTTGTTCTTGCTGCTAAGCTCATATTTCAAAGTGGCATCTGACAGCAGGGGCGGATACAGGGGGAGGGTGCAGGGGGTGCGCACCCCCCCCCCTGGGATGACCTGCGGCCGCTTTCTAATTAACACTGTGCAGTCGCTTGACAGACATACAAAATCTGCTCTATCGTTTGATATGTATTCTCAGCAGTTCACATTATGTTATTTCCTAGTCAAAAGCCCTCTTCTTCGTATTCGCTTTTAAAATTTCTTACGTCATCAGTCAGTTAGTGGTGCACCCCCTCCTAAGAAAAATCCTGGATCCGCCCCTGGACAGGGCAAAATGGAGTACAACTATGTACACAGTCATATATCAGGTACCCAAAGTGTGAACACAACAGCATTTTGTGCCGATACCCAAGCATCAAGTGTGGACAGTCCCTTATCAAACTATACATATGCTGAACCCATTGACTGACTGCAGGTATAATGATGATGAGGAGGAGGAGGGTGAAAATACATGTAATACGTGATTTAGTGAGATTTCACAGTATGGGGTACAAGTAACTTTGAAGGTAAAAAGGGATTAAAACAAGCCAGATTGATAAATGAGACAGCCTGGTTACAGGGCTCGAAAAAAAAACCTGAATTCCAGCTTGTCCTTTGGGGAAGCAGCTGTTGCACTTTGCTTGCCAGGGGTCACTTCTTACTCGTCTCACTAGATGGCCCTTGCCCATTGGACAGAAAGCTTTGAAAGTTATTTGCCCAGTAAGAAAATCTACTTGTTCCAGGCTACCCGATGGGACTTTTTTTGAGCCCTGCTACACAATTGTACACTCAGTCCATCCGTGGACAGTAAACTGTTAGTAACTGTAGTGATGATGTTACAGAATTTACACTCACATGGCACGATATCTTTGTACCGATTTTTTGGTCGATTGCACTCCATCTCCCCATGATGACATGAATAGTCAGGATTTTTCTTTAGTTGAGATGACAAAGCCTTTATTTGCTACCAAAGTAAAAAGAAGGAACATCTGGTAGATCAGCCTTACATGATTTCAGAAATAGGGCTACATTAAAAGTATTACTTGGTAAATACTAACTTTCAGACATCTGTCTTATCTGTCTTTTGTACCTAACTACTGGTAGTTTTCCTGAGTAAATTTTGTATTTAGAGATACAGAAGACATACATGTATATGGTAAACTAACAGAAGCACATTCTGGGCAATCATTTTCAGCAAGACAGTTAATCCCCACATTCATAAAATTTAAGATCAAGGGCAAATGGGAAAGACCCAGGTAGAAAATTTCTCCTACAAGTATATAAGCTCCTTAGCCTGAGAAAACAGCCAACATTTCAAGATGCTTCCACTGGTTTCCTGTGCAATGATACCTGAGAAACGAGTGCAGAAATTCCGTACAGATGATGCTTCACTTCCCAGAACTGGGAAGTGCTTCTGATTGGTCATGCCGCATGGGAAATTTGCTCCAACCAATCAGAAGCACTACGCAGACCTGGGCAGTGATGCGTCATCAGTATGGAGTTTCTGCACTTGTTTCTTAGATCTCATTTCGCAGGGAAACCAGGGGAGGCATCGTGAAATGTTGGTTATTTTCTCAGGCTATATGCTCTGTGAATTTGAAATCTTGGAACTAATTTGTTTAAGGTGCTGACGTTCCAGGATGCTATGTGTTGAGCTGTTGTTAACACTAATACTGGCTCATTTATTCATTTGATTATGGTAAATCAACAGAAATGAGTGCATGTGCTGTTTAAAATACACCATAGGTTACTCCAACTATATATAGAAATCTTTATTGATTGAAGCATCAATAGAGTTGCCTTTCCTTATGTTTCACCTGGTCGATTATGGTAAAGGTTTGTGTTCCTCTGAGTATATTCCACTAATATTAACTGTTTCATAGTACGTGGTAGATTCATAGCATTTACATTTGAACTTTGTGACCGTTTGTCTGTAATTTATAAACAAAAGCTAGCTAAAACAATGCAACTGCTACATCGACCAATCAGAGCTCCTGATCATATTCTGGACAGATTTTACATCATCAGTGTTTTTGAAGTGCAGACATCCCTCCTGGCAAAACATCCCTAGTGGCTAGGAGTGAGGAGAGAAGGCTGTTTTTGCAGGCTACTTAGGACCATGATGCTTGTATGGTACTGATGCTTCAAATTTTGGTTCATTCTACATGGCTGGGTACAGAAATTACTAGTTGTGGAACTGTTGGTGTGCTAGACGTACACACTGACATCAAGTGGATGCCCCTAGACACCACAGCCACCCCACCTCTACACAGATGTAGCAAACAAGGTGTTCACTCAGGGTTCAGACTGTCAATAGATTGCAACCATTTTTCAAGGTCTTTTCGAGGACTTTTCAAGGACCACCTACTAGGAATATAATCTCACAGGTTGTACAAAAATGCACATTGGGTTATTCCAGAAAAAATCCACACCCCCCCGACGGATGGGGTCCTTTTTAACCCCCTCTCACCTGGATTTCCCGAAGCACAAGACCCCCCTCCCAACTGGATTTCCAAGGTGGAAGACCCCCCCCCGCCTGGATTTCCGGGAAAAAATATAAGGCTTAAATTTAATTTATTTTTAATGGAAAATACATGCAAACACGCCTAAATGTTTTTGTTTTAATTTCTAAAGCTTCAGCTTATATTAAACTAAGAATTCTATCGCGTGGAACTAAAAAAACGAAAGGAGCAAAAAACAAAAAAATGCGAACGACACCTGAACAGTGTTTACATAATTTCTTAGCTTATAAAAATCACTCTTAAGCTCTTGGGCTCTCTGGGTAACAGTAGAAATGTGTCAGGCGTTTGACGCTCTTCGTGACAACAACGTTGCGACGAGTTCCTTCAGGCCCGTTCTTTAGTATCTTGTTCGCGTTTTCTGCTATAAAAGGACCTGTAAAGCAACTTAGATTATCATTTATGTCAGGTGAGAAATATATGAACAAAACGTTTTGACTATTTTCAGGGTCTGAAAGCGCTTAAGTGTCATCGAACTAAACGTTTGATTTGTATCAACTACCGGGGTATCGGTCGAAATGACCCCTGCAGAAGACTTTTTTAAGGTCAACTCCCCCTCCCGCCTGGATTTCCGGAGTCTTCGACCCCCCCTCCCGTGAGAATTTCCAGAATCCCATCCGTCGGGGGGGTGTGGATTTTTTCTGGAACAACCCATTCCCACTCTATTATTAAGACTTTAAGGTTTGAACTGTTAGCTTCACCAACTTCTCTACATTTTTCAGTTCACTTGTCTTAAACTGATAGTAAATTATTGCACAAAACATAGAGCAATTTAAGTACATAACCTTTAAATTCTCTGAGCTATGATTTATATTCTGTCTTGGACAAGCAAAAAGCATCACAAAATTCTTTCCAGTTCACTACATTCAAAGTTGAAGAAAATTCAAGGACTTTTCAAGGACTTGCACAGAAATTTAAGGGCTTTTGAGGGAAAAATGGAATCGACGGACTTTTCAAGGACTACTCCTAAAATTCAAGGACTTTTCAAGACTGTGTGAGCCCTGTCACTATACAAAAGTCTAACCACCACTAAAAATCGCAATAAAAATTGCTTAATGTGATTGTTAAATTTAATTATGGGAACTGTTTTAACTTAAGGAAATACTGATCAGCCCATTCACTCAGCAAGGCTATACCCAAATAGCTTCTGTAAAATTTGCAAATATATTCAAACTTGTGTGTTTACAGCCTTCATCCACAGATGAATGAGCATGAACAGATCTATTGAATATTTTTAGAAATCCTGAGAGGATAAGTTTGTTAATGGATAAGTCTCGCAAGGACAGCCCTAAACATGCAAGTCGACTGTATGCATATTTACAAACTTGCACTGGACTTGTGAGGTCATTCCTAGTTTAAGTAAATTGTGGAGACATTTGTAATGTCTGTGGATGAAAACCTGTCATGTGACAATATTCACATAAAACCATATCAGCTGTCCTTGGGTGCACAGCTGTTGAGTTTGTTTATCAGCATTTTACAAAAGAAAAATCACAATTAAAAAAATGATCTTATACAGCCTTAAGTGACAAAAAGGTTAATGGTAAATATTGTGAAACCAAAATAAACATGATAGCTAAAAGACCAATGTCGATCGAACTTTGTTTCGGTTTTGAAGACAAGAGCAAAGACCGCATACAGATAATAACGAAATAACAACGATGGGTTTTAAATCAACATAATTTACTCTGCTTTTACAGTATTATCACAAATTACATACCTGAAATTCTTTAGCAAAGCCGTTCTCTCGTTTAGGATTGACAGAAGGATGTAAGCTTTCAGCATGAGCCAAGAAGGCTCCAAGTCCTTCGGGAACTTTCGGCGAATTCATGGCAATTTCATTACGAACACGAGTGGTTAAAATATTACATTGTGTGTTACTTAGCTTTGAAAATATCGGTGGAACTCCGCATCTCAGCGATCAAGCTTCATCTGAAACTAGTCCAACAGAAAAGAAACAAGAAGCTTCCTCCTGACTCCAAAATCTGGCTCCCTTCACGATAGCGCCTGCGTATTACCCAGAATTCGACGGATATACCGGAAGTGGTTGACCCGTAAATAGGGAACTTAAGAACCACGACGACGACTTTGTCGACGACGACCGGAAGTGAGTTACGGAATACTGCGCAAGCGCAACCAGTAAATTTCGTCGTCGTGGTGTCGTCGACGACGCCAAACAAAGAAGAATCACGTCGTCCTGCAATCCACAAGCCTTAGCAGGTATAAATCCACTGTTTAAAGCGATTTTTGAAGTCCTTTTCATTTTCTTATCCTCGTGAATCCAGGTATCGTTCCTTTTTTCTCCTAACAAGCGATGTTGATTGAAAATTCGACTAATGAATTGTTTTTACCGCTTCGAAGAATGACAACAGCTGTGGAGGCCGAGTGAGCGCAGTCGTAAGTGATAAATTTATTTGTACGTATTTAGGTAAGACAAATCATGTATCTTTAATATAGAGGAAATAAAATTTATATGGAAAACAGCTATCACATCAGAATGTCGCTTTTTCCAAATCTAAACTCTGACAGGCCCTCGGACTCGGTCATCTCATGCAGGTCGAAAGTTGAATAATCTTTGTACGGAAAGCAGGTGTTTTTCCACTCGTAAAGGTCAGACAACTCAAAACATTCTCCATCGTCCATGAAATTAGGAGCACGGCTTAAAAAATAAGATCTTGCGTTGTTTTAAAAGACGCCATTGCGAAAAACTTTGTTGCGAACGAACATCACAGTTTACATTTGTGTTTACATTCAGTGTCGTCGTCGTCGACCTACCGACCGACTGCATCTTAAGTTTCCTTTTTCCCGCCGAAACTGACGTTCTCGTTCCAGTCTTTTCCCAGACAAGAGACGTCGTCGTCGTGAACTCCGTCGTGGTTCTTAAGTTCCCTAATGACTTCCTCTCAACTACGCGGGATATTAAAAGTTCTCAAAAGTATCGGCCCTGGGTAAACATGATATTGAAAACCGAGGGCAATATACACTCAATTTTGAGATAAATCGGTTGGCAACTGTGATAAATTAAGCAGCGATCGGACGTGCGACCGCAAAAGCATGCTAATTGGGAGAGAAAGGGGGAGGTGATGGGGGTGGGGTGAGAAAGTATGTATAATGGCCAAAATGAGCACCCTGCTGGATTTTACCGGTTTTCGGGTTTCTCGTTTTACTTCATTAGGAGAGTGCTTCTTTCGAAAGAGAAACCAGACCTGAGATGAGGTCTTCTTCTTCTTAAATGGAGGAGGTGGTGGGGTACATGTGAGCTCTTCTTTGGATCTATACTCCCACCCGTTTGTTTTGCATATTGGCAAGGAAGCCATGTCTCTGTCAGTAATCTACTATTGTAATGCCCTTGTCCTCATCACTGTTGCAGTCTTCATCCACCTTGCCATCATTTGTAACTATTTTTATCTGTTCTTGTCACCATTTAAGGCCATGCCACTTGTCGGAATTTAGACCCTAATGAAGCCTTTCTGATCCTCAAGTGCATAGCCTAATTTGCCTAAGTATGAACAATGTAAGTTAAAACTTTTTTTCTCTAGGCTAATGCTGGTTTGGATGTTTTTATAAAACAAATTAAGATTGGTATAATTCCCAAAGAAACTGATAAAAAATTCCTGTCTATGCTTGTAAATATGATGGAAAAGTTGATGTAAGATAAGGAGTCACTGAGAGCCCTATTCTTAGCCTGCGAAAGCATCCGTTTCTCCTTCGCTCTTCGCCGCTGGGGACGTTCGCAGGCTACCTTATTCTATCCTCCTGCTAAAATTATTGTTTTGGCAAAAAAAGTCTGGCAATTCCCAAAATATCTCTGAGGGAGACTCTATCCTGGGATCAACCAGTCAACCCTAATGGAAAAACCTCCATTGTGCCATAAAATGACCATAAAGACCACAAGAAGACTTGTCCTACCACTGCACGTCAAAAATGAAACAGCTATCCATGGTTGATACTAAGCACAGCTATGGCTATGTGCATAAGGTACCTGGTATCACCTGTTTTCTGCCCCTGCAACCTTCTTCCCTTGCCCTGATCTCTCTCTACAGTTTTAGAAGCAGTATAGTTGTTCACTTTTCCATGCTACATCATACATACACACTTCCACCCCAAACCTACACTGTAAATACCAAACACTTTTTTGAGCTTTTTTACAAGGAGAGCACAGTTTTTATTTATCATTTTTACAATACAGTTGATTATAGCATAAGGCTGCTTGGAATAACTCCCCGAAAATCTCACAAACTGAAAGAGTTATGCTTCAAGAATAGCTACCTCTCCAATGTAAGAAAGTTTGTAGCAATACCATCATTGAATCTTCAGTTTGAAAGTTAATTCAGTGATTCCAAGAGACAAGAAAAGGTCATCTACTCATAGCCACTTCACTGTATGAATTTAGCATCAGTACAGTGGAACCTCGATACAACAAAGTGCCAAGGAACTGGCAAACTTTGTTCGCTATATAAACGAGGTTTCGCTATATCGAGGTTCTTTTTCATATATATTAACTGTTTATACAGTAGAACCTATAGGTATAAGGAACAGGGTGCAAAGAAAATCATTTTTACAACTTGCCATTCGGGCAAGCTGAAGCTAGCATTTACTAGCCCAGATGTCATTTTGAACTAGCCCCAAAAGCGTTTTGATGAGCAGAATTGATTTCACAGTTCTTCCTTTATTCGAATTGCTCAAAAACAACACTTGCCCATCGGGCAAGTTAAAAACAGAATTCACTACCCCAATAGCAAAATCCACTAGCCCCGGGCTATCAGACACTACTTTCTTTGCACTCTGAGGAACCTCTATATAGCGAAGTCCTAGGTTTAATGAACGATTGATTATTGCCCAGTAATAAAAGAGTTATCATTACAATCACAGTTAAAATAAATATTACATGTCAGTATACAGTGGGGTTTGCAGCATTGCAGTGAGTGACTAATGTTTCGTGTGGTGAAGTGCAGTCCTTTTTATCTCAACTAACAATAGGCTGATTTAGCAACAGGACAGGAACGTCAGTTGGCGATAGGAAAGCGCGCGGAAAGGACTAAACACGACTTCCGGTGCCCAATTTGCCGCTCTGCCATTGGTCAAGCCAGTTGTTTGATTTGCGCACACCATTGTCAACAGAGGACTCCCATTCTGTTGCTAAATCAGCCTAATATTGTAATGTCCTAATAATCCAATGTCCCTCTCCACATGTGCTGCATTTAGTAAAATACAATAATTATAAGACAAAGTTGACATTTAGTTTCTCTGAAAATTTGCTGTTCTACCATTGTTATATGATTCATGGCAACATTGAAGCATGATATCACTAGAGTAAATTAATGTGACTAAAAACCCTTAAATCCAGGCCCTACATGCAGGTTACATTCTACAAGGTTAAAAGTGCATTTTGCATTATTTACTAAAAGGGAAGATATATGTAGCTTGCTACTAATTAATCAGCCAGCATTCTGGATTAGGTCACTCTCTGCTGAGCTGCTCCGTCTTCTCCATTTGCATGGCTAATCACTCCATAAGAAAAGCCCATTTGTTTCTGCTCTGTAGAAGACACTAGTGAATCGTCAATGTCTGTAGTAACTGGTGCATATTTCTGTGATTTACCAGGTACAGAGTTTGTCTGATCCAAGGCCTTTGGAGATTGCTGAGCTCGTGTATCTGATCTGGAAAATGCTGAAGACATTTTCCGGGCCACATAGCGCCCAGCTATGAAGAAAAAAATTGAATTAAAATTCGAGTTCAGTGTACCTAGAAAGTTATTCCTGCTGTCACTGATATAGGATAACCATACGTGAACTATGGCTACCTGTAACTTTCAATCGAAACAACTGACTTGCATAAAAGAAGTTTATGGGTGTAACTGTTTGTTAACAGTTCCTAGGTAGTTAAACCTTAAAACTCTTCAAGCCCATGAATAAAAATTTCAATCTCGAATGCTTCACATTATTACAAGCACCAAAGGTTATAACTAGCAGTGTCGTGACGAGAGAAAGAACAGCCTAGGTGTCGCATTCTTACCTAGCAAAATAAATAGCAAATAGCTTACCGTTAATTATAAGTCACACCATTCTTTGAAATAACAATATCTGGTTCCTTAATTGATTTCCTTTACCCTTTGGCGTACGTTAAATCTTCTTTTTCTTCAAGAAAGTTCAAGAAATGCTTTTTCATTCCTTGGTAACCACCCGTAACAAGGAGACTGGGCCCCAGCTAAGATCTGGAGACCAGGACCAAGAATTAACTGTGACAACCCGTCCCAGAAAACTAAGTGGGAGGTGTCAGCAGACACATACCATACTTGATTTGTTCAAACGTCAGATTTACGATTTTGACACGCACGTAACTAGTGCTTATCTGGGTGGGCCATGTCAGAGGAGTTACACAACTCACAATCCCCTGATTCGCTCTGACAAATGGCTAGCACTCAATTACAAAGTGACAGCTTATCTATCTCCCTCCCTTCAGTGGCCCCTGCCCCCTGCTTGTTCCTGGTCGTCCTCGGTAAATTCGGGTACCGTGACATCACCCATTTGCCACATGTAAGGGAATCTGGATTCCAGAATCTGGGAAATCCCGTAGAATCCTGGGCTTTGGAATCCGGAATACAGCTCAAGGAATCCGGAATCCCACTAACGAATGGAATCCACAATCCAAGTCCCACTGACAAAAACTAGAATCCAGTACCTGAAATCCAGAATCCAAGACTGTCTTGGATTCCCTTATACGAGGTGACATCAGGTTTGCCGCGGAATAATTCTTTTAGAGCTGCATTCAAACGTTGGATATGCGCTATCCACCGAATAAATCACTATCCATTGGATAAGTATATTATGG